GGGGGGGGGGGGGGGGGGGGGGGGGGGGGGGGGTGGGGGGGGGACGTTGAACCTCCATTGCTCAGCTGGCCAGGCCTTCTCCACCGATCCTTGAGTGAAAGTGGGGCACCCACCCGGCCTATTCGCTTCTTTTCCTTCCCCTCGAGATATATCGCCCTCGAGCGCCAACCGAGACGCGGGTTTTTTTTTGCCTTCGCGAGGAACAGGTGACCGCGGTCGCTTCGAAATCTGGGAAAGGAGACAGCCTGGCGGCAGCTTTCTTTAAAAAAAAATTAATTTTATATCCAAATGTTGTGCGATCTGGGGAGGGATCGCGCCTTTCTCTCGGGACTTTCGTGTCTGGTGCCGCGAGGATGCACGACTTTGGGATATGCAAATGGGGTTGCCCCCTCCCGAAAAAAGCCGATTTTCGTTTTAAAAAATTGCACCGCGTGAAAGCTGGACGTCGGGAAAGTCTCGCATCGCTCCGATGAATATTCGCATCGCAGAATATTAATTATAAAAAAAAAAATTCCCTCGTTCGTTTTCTCGTTGATGCGTGCCGTGGTTATGGTGATTCGCGGTGGAAACGAACATCCCAAAAAATCTAAAAGCGAAGGTTTCAAGGGAAAAATATACGAGCAAAAAAAAAAAATTTGGAAATGCAAAAATTAAATTGAGGTTTCGTTGAACCGAGGGTTTCCTTCCCATGCTTTTTTCGTCTTCGTTTCCCCAAATTCCTTTAGAATCGCAACAGCCACGTCCCGGTCGAACGACGGCTAAAATTTTCCGCTTTTCTTTCGTCCCGAAACGAATGCGCACGATTGTTATTCATCCAATAGAAGTTTAAATAAAAATAATTTTTTTGTGAAATGGTGTGCGAACCGTCAAAATCCCTTCTTTGAGATGAAAATAAATTATTCGGAACGGGGCAGGAAACAGCGAAAATTCCATGCGTGTCCAACGTTCAACGTTTCTCAGCGTGACAGTTAATAATAAAATATAATAATAATAAAAAAACAATAAAAAGAAGGAAACCCGAAGTGAAAAGTGGAAATCCTGGCTCAGACAGGCTCAGATCGTCAAAAACGAGAACACTAAATGTTAAGTCCCATTTTCAAGGTTTTCAGTCCATTCTTGAAATGCTGACGTTTTTAAAAATATTAAAAATGAAGTTTCGAATTCGTAAGCAGAAGCTGGAAATTGCAGCGAATGAGCCATGGACATCAAATAAAAGGTTTGTTTATTTTGGAAAAATTCCCTTTTTTCCGTCTGAATGTTTCTCTTCAATCTTTCGGCGAAACTGAAAAATGGCTGAAATGTTTTTTTTTTTCCGGTTTCGTGGCTATCGCCCGAAAACGCTCGCGGGATCGAACATCTCGCGAGTTGCCTGCAACTCTCGAGGGTCGTTTTAGCACGTTTCGCCATTTTTAATTTTTAAATTTTAATTTAATTTAATTTTTGTGGCGTCCCTGAAATAATGGAAATCGGCCCCGGCGGATGCCCCGGAGAAAGGCTGAAAATTGATTTATTTTCGTGACATGGCTTTCCCCCCGATGTCCCTCGATTTCGCACTTTTCCTTCGGCGGTTTTGCCAAACGGCCGACGGCCGCAAGCCGAAGGGATGTCGCCCGCAAGTCGAAGGGACGTCGGCCGCATTTCTCGGAGAGATTAACCGCTCGCAAACCGCGATCGGTTAATATTCGGAATCGAACCTTTCGGTTCGGAAGTATGAAAGTGAAAAGCCGGTTCTGCCATCGAGTCCTGCCCCCTCCCCCTCCCCCCCTCCACCCCCCCTCCCCTCCCCTCCCCTCCCCCTCTTCCTCTGAATCCGCGAAACGATCGTAAAAAAGAAAGTGAAAATTTGGTCCTCTGAATGCGGCTCTCCCCGGGGGATGAAGCGAAACAGACTATCCCCAACGGACCATCCGTTTCTGCGAAATGAGTCCGAGAAACGTCTTTTTCACTTTTTAAAAATTTTATTTATCATTATTTATTTTATTATGATTTATTTTTCCACCGGCGAGTTCGTCACTTTCGTTCCCCAAGGTTAAGAAGCAAAAGCGCGGCGAAAAAGGCTACTCTTCCTTTCATTACCTACCTACTAGCCAATTACTCACGAAAAGCGTTGTTTTTTTTTCATGACTTTTTCCCCCCAACAATTCCAATTAGACTTCGAAGCCTTTTAAGTGGCGAGAGATAAGATTGTCCGCGTGACACAAAGAGGACGAAAGTGAGTTGTCGGAAAATCTCACGAACTCGCGAAAAAAAAAATCATCGCAAATCAAGAAGGAATATCGGCATCTTCGCTAATCCGGGAATCTGCAAATCCGGAGTTTGCACCGATCCGATGGCAAAACATCGGATTCCTGAAACTTTTCGGGTCTGGCAGACAAAACGAATCGTGACGAGATTCGACGATACCGCGAGGTGGGTCGACCGGATCAGGAATCAGAAAAACCACGAATGTATAAAATTTAAACTTTTTAAAATTTAGATTCCATGAGGCAAGAGTTGCCGGATCCAAGTTTGTTTCACGCTCATGGATTGGCAACAAGTCGAAGAGAAACGAAACATTTGCACTCGTGTTTACCTGTTCCATTTATTTATTAACTTATATAATAATTATTATTGGAAATGTTTCACTTGTTTCGAGCCTTTCGACAATCCATCGCGCGAGGAATAAACTCGGATCCGGCATCACTCGCTTCGCGGAATGAGACCGCTCTCATCCGGTCCGGCATTATTGCCGGGTCTCGTCACGGTTTACATTCTCGGAAACGCACTAAAGAATGCAGAATCGAAAATGCTTAAAGAAATCGCGAGAAAATTTTTCCTTGCACAATAAGAAATCAGAATCAATGTTGAAAAATTAAGATGGAAGCCGAAATGCCATAAATCACCAACCGTAAATACTTCAAACGTCGAACGAGCGTTTTCTGATCGTGATTTCAGGTTTCGTGACGCGACGAAATTTGCTCGTACGTGACGCGTGACTCAAAGGGCATTCCGGATTCGTGAATGCACCCACGATCTCGAATTAAATCGATTAAATTAAATAAGCACCGGCAAAAGTTTTCGGCTCGAGTGAAGGTGCCGCCGTCAAAAATTTAACAAATATAAAAAAAAAAGTCTCGTCGCGAAACTCACACGACGCCTCATGGAAGAGCAAGGGAGGAAGGAGCAAGCAGAACGCAATGGTCGTGCAAAAGCAGCCGGTCCTCGTCGGCAAGAACCTCATCGCCATTCTTCTGTGACTCGCGCTAGCACTCGCGACAGGGTACTGAGGTCCCTCGCGCGCACCACGCGGGGGAATCTTCGACCCAGATGGAACGCCGAAGATGAAAGTGACCTCATATTCCGAGAGAGAGAGAGAGAGTGTGTGTGTTCCTTTTTTTTTCCTTTCCATAGCCCCGAGCGGCCACTCCCGCGTTTTTTTTTACTCGAACGAGCACGCGAAAAGACCAAGATCATCTAATTCTGGTCAGCGGATTCCCCTTAAGCGAATTTATGATCCAGTCGTGAGCACAATATACTTGAAAAGACTCCCACGCGATCCGTTTCCTCTCTCCTCCCGTCGCATTTTCCCCATCGGGCATTGCCTTTTTAAAATCCACGGCCCGGGTATCCGGATTTTGCGCATCGCATCGTTTCCCATCTCGCTCACAGCCATCTGCCGATTCGTGTCGGTTCTCGAGAGAAGGGAAGACCGACGAAAACATGGATTCATATGCCATATTGCGTGTCCATGTAAACCGGCACCGTAATGAGCTAGTCCCCCCGCCGCAAAAATTCATCTGAATGGTTTAGTGAATGAATCACAGAAATGGGACCGTTAAGTGGATTGGTTAGGAGAAATGCCCCTCTGGAACAACAAAGCACGGCAGGTGGCATTGCCAGCTGACAGAATTAGATGTTTCACCGATAATTGTCGACCAATCAGGCGAATGAGAAAGAATTTCGCTATTTTTAAGGAGGTCATCCCAAAATCTCTGAGAATCCCCTCGGTAATTAAACATTTAAGCAACGCCAATTTTTCATTGTTACGATTGAAAGTAACCTCCCAAATTGGAGTGTTTTCCAATTTCATCGAATGTACTCTTTTTTGACGGCTCCTTTACTTTTGCATCAGTCATATTTCGTCATACTAGTTAAAACACCTAGTCCCGAGAAGTGGTTTGAATTTCTGCAGGATTCAATATTATTATAAGCAGAGTGCTCTTCCAAAGAAAAAGAAAAAAAAATTCTGGAGAAGAGAGGGACAAGACCTCTCAAGACCTTTGAAATTTCCCTTATAATATGGAAGAAGCTATCACTCATAGAAATATTCATAGCCTGTTGTATAAGATTATCCTTGTGAATGCAAACTAGCTTTAGCTAGCTAGCTAGCTATAAAGTCATCCAATAAACTTAAACAAGTACGTTCATTTTAGGAAATTCGGCATAACACCAACTGCTGGTGCTGACATGTCATTGTGGGTGATATGGATTCAGGGAGTTGGGAAGACCAAAATGAGCACAAAAGAACAAGACTCTCCATATTAAAAAGAGAACAGGGCCAAAAAAAAGGCCCTTTTTTTGGGGAATCAAAAAAACTGGTGATGCTTTGTTAAGTTCATCCAAACTACTCAAAATAACCCACAAGTTCTGTTTCATTCCTTGTAATCTTTCCCAAATACAAGCTTTCATATAAACCTTTTTATTTTCACTCAGGATGAGTTGATATGCTTTGGATGAGGTCAGGTTTCACAATTCTCTGAGTTTGTATGTCCTTCTGTATGTTCACTGCATTGGACATCACTGTCAGTGCATTGAGCCTTAGGCTTCCATTCAGCTGTTGGAGGAGGCCACCAGGCAAGAGGAACTGATGAGGAGTTGTTACACTTTTGGTTTTCTGACACCAGGAACTTGTCCCAGGCTCTTCTTACTGCTACCAGACTCTCTGCATCCAGTTGTGGCAAGGAGGAGCTTCCAAAATACAAGTCTTTTATGACTTGAACATCCATAGGAAAATCCTTTTCGGGTTCCAGATTCGTATTGTACTCGACGTCCAACCCACTCATCACCTTGAGGGTTTGTTCTTCCTTCTCATAATCCTCTTTCTGCCTTGCTAGTCGCATCTCAAGCCTCCAAAAGTTATCTTCTTCATCCTCACCAATTCCTGCCCTCTGGCAACGTAAGGATCGGAGTTCTTTGAGGAGCTTCACGAGATCCAGCATTCGACGGACCTGACTCTGCTTCCAACGCACTTCTCCCAAGACACAATCTGCAGTTTTCTTCATTCTTGCTGTTTCTTCTTCCCTGAGTAATTTCTCTCTTTCCTTTGCTTCCCAGTCCTCAACTTGTTGCTTCAGGGTCTCCTGCTCTTTCTTCAGGACACCTCTCCTGTGCTTGCGGCTGAGTCTCTTCCTGGCTTGTCGGGAGGCACGATTCACACGAGCCTTCACTCCTTCCATCACCACAGGGGAACAGAGAAACCCCAAAATCTCTTCAACTTCCCTTTTGTGTTCAATAACAGTACTAACTCCTGCTGGTGCCTTGAGTTCTGCAATGAGTGACATCACCCGTTTCACCTTCTCATGTATATTTCTTAGATGCAATGCCAGATGCTTTGATCTTTCTCTGGTTGGTTCAGACTGATATTGTTGTTCTATTTCTCTCCTTTTCTTCACAATCTCCTTTAGGCTGATTGGCTGTTTTAAGGACAGGCACTCTGGAATTGTGATAGGAGGCTGGGAGATCACCATGGGAGTGGGGAAACGGGTCAAATGAGCAGGAAAACATCCTTGCTGCTGGAAATTTGGTGGGAAAAAATTTGGATCTAGGGAAGGTGGGGGTTTAGTAAAGGAGGGAGGAGGTGGATGAAAGGAGGGGGCAGGTGGAGGAGGAGTATGAAAGGAAGGGGCAGGAGGAGAATGAAAGGAGGGGGCAGGAGGAGGAGAATGAAACGAGGGGGGAGCAGGAGGAGGATGAAAGGAGGGGGCTGGAGGAGGGGGATGAAAAGCGGGAGGAGGATGCATGGAGGGAGGGGGAGTGTGCAAGTAAGGATGTGGAGGAAAGTTTCCCTGATCAGGACTGGAGACGGGAAAATTCATGCCAGTTCTCTGAGCCGGCGGATGACTGAAACCCTGTGGAATCCTCGGAGCATACCAGGCTCCTCGGCTTGAATCGTACAAACTTGAATTCCATGGCCTTGCCATAACCTGAATTAAGGGGGAAATGGGAAGATGATAGGATTAAGTTCCGCAATATGTTCACAGAAGACAGCACATATCTCATCAGTGGGCCTAACTTTTGAACTACGCTAAATTCGAGGTCTCACAGTAACCACAGTATTGGAAACCCATCACGCACCTTACGAGCACGCTGTGAGCCCTTAGACGGTATGAATTGCTGAATAGCCAGCAGTGTTGCACAGGAATTGTCAGGCATTCATGCTGGAGCAGTGTCAATCAAAATAAAACTCTTTTTGCTTTCATTTCGTGCTCTATATAATCGAAGTAATTATTTAGCATAGAAGGCTTTCATTTTAGTAGGTTTTCCTATAGTTGTTGGAGTAGAGCTTATGAAGTGCGATAGCAAAGGAGCCTTTTCCGGCATCCAGGACGCTAGCACGTGTTTCTCCTGTTCCTTGCGGCTTCTGCTTGCAAACAAAGTATATCGCCGATGTTGTGATTTTCAGCAATCCATGGATCTATACAAATCCAGTAAGGAATTCGGTGCAACCATAGGACTATATGGGGTAATTAGTAAAGTTTTAGGTCTAGCCTTAGCATCTACCTCTTGGAGTAATTTTTGGTTTAACAGTTTAGGCTACGCCTAACTTTTCGGTTGGGGATTAAATTAGGGGGAAATCAGCCGTCGAGTTTGGCATTGTACATCTTGCGCACAACAAGATTTTGCCTTGCAGCCACCACTAAGCATCGAAAACATGCCTTCCATTTGTGGTCAAAGCCCTGCGTCATGGGAGCGGGAAATGGGAGCATTGGGTTTAAGTAATGCTGATATTGAAAAAGGAAGTTTTTAATTTTTTTTTCAATTTCAGAATTTCCTCAATTTCAATTAATTTCAATTAATGCATACTGACGTTTCTTCTGTGGTAAATTTACATTTTTAGTAGCTCAGTTTACCTCTACATGGCCTCCACCAATCATGGCACATATTTTGGTATATATTTTCCATTTCCAAACCGCTTCATTCATCCTCCTTTTACTTGTATCAATATTCATGATGGTGCCCCAAATTTGTTGCTCCAAGTCTGGAAGTTGTGTCATGACATGACCACATATTTAACAAATTCAGAGAAGCTAAGTTGGGTGATCATGGTGACTATTTGAATGGTCCTCATCAACTGTATTAATTACACTCTTTGATTATAACATTTTGCAACAGTATCAGAGCAATAGGAAAAATAAAATATAAGGTTACTTCTGGAAAACCCTGTATTTCCTTCAAATGCAATTACAATTCTCATTTCTCACCTCAACATTTTTTCAGGCAATTGTAAATGTCTGTTATTAGGCCAGGAGATCCATGAATGGCTTATGAAGTCTCACCCCTTGTTCTGGAAATCCTTCTCTGGTCAGAAGTGAGCATTCAGCAAAAAAGCATAAAATTCTTTGTATGCAAATACCATGCTTTCCATAGGAAAGACTTTCAGGTTTCTGATATTTATCTCAGAGTCAATAACCAAAGAGTTTATTTTGTCCATTTGGAAGAAGCTGACCTATTCATACATTTGGGTGTCATTAATCAGTCACGTTTGCAAATGGTCATGACAACATGAATGGAAGCCCTACATATATGGGATGGTAATCAGCGGAGATAGAAGTTTCTGAAAGATAACTTAGTTTGAAAAGCTGTAAACCCACTCAGTGCACCTTCTGCTTGTCATAAACTTTTTCTAGGCAAGTTCATGCAAGTCTTGCATGTTTTACAACACCATTTTTGTAGTCAGACTCAGAAATCAAAGCTCACTCCTCATATATTTAAAGTTGTGACTTGGGCCTGCTATTAATGTTAGCCGTCAATTGTGTTTTCCATGCATCCATTTGGCTTTTTGGATTCTTATGAACTTTTGCCTGCTTTCCAAATGGTGGTGAATGAATTGTCTAGCATTAACATCTGCATGGTTGATAGGCCATGGCCTTTGAAAGTTCAGAATTTTTGGCCAGAAGTGAATTCAGGCTTATGGACCTTATCAACAAGAGCAGCTTATTTTGCATTTAATTTTAGCAATCTGTTGACTCCTTTAATTTATGGGATTTTATTATAAATATATGTAAATTTTCATTTTTCAAGACTTCATTGATGAGCTCGATGGCATCAAGGAGATCATTCAGGGAAGTGACTTCCTGGCCCTGGATTTGGAGTTCACTGGCCTACGGAAGTCAATGTCTGGGGGATTGAAGAACAACCTTTTTGACTCCATCTCTGACCGACTGAAAAAAATGCAGGAAAATATGATGGAATTTCTAGTCCTACAAGTTGGTCTCTGTGCCTTTCATTGGGTTCCTGAAGCAAGAAAGTGAGTCTATTCCCAAAGGAATAGCTTTTCAAAGTCACTCCCTTGATGTCTGGATTTAAATGATGTCTTCACATTTCAGATGGAAATACTATGCGTACAACTTCAATGTCTTCCCCTCTGCAGAACATGGAGACCTTACCTTTCCTTGTCAGGTTGAAACCATGAAGTTTTTGCTTGAACATGGCTTTGATTTCAATAGAGTGATTTTAGAGGGTATGTCCTTCCCAGCTGTCAGTGGGAGCATTCAGCTGTGGCCCAAGTTATGACTCGTGGGTTCATTGTCTGCACTGAGGCTTCAAAAGGCATTTTGCTCCCGAGTTACACCACTTGCCAGTATAATCAATTTGGGTATAAATGCCTCTTGATAAACCCAGAGCCTGCTGAAAACCATGAACCTTGAATCATAACATGGGTCACAGCTGAATGCACCCAGTATGATTGTGTATTTCGTCATCTGACTTTGTTTCTTGTTTGACCTTTTTTTTAATAGGCATTCCATTTTTAAGACCTGATCGAGAGGAGAAGGCCAAGAGATCATTCTTTTTGAAACAGAAGGCCATCCTGGGCCAAGGACCATCACCACAGAGAGTGTCTGTCCCTGAAAAGTTGAAGCCTCTCATTGTTGCCATCAGGTCAGCCAAATTTTAACTACTTACCAGTTTTTTTTTTAACAATGAATTAAACCAAAAATGGTAATTTTTGTAGATTTTGATCTGTAGACTTTGTTTTAACAAAATATGTATATGTAACATATTTTATTCATTTATTCGGGCAAATCAAGAACGAAACAACGAAACACGAGCCGCCTGTGTCTCATGCGGGAAAGTCAGTTTTGGGAAGGACAACGTCGCCCGCATCAGAGACGGGCTAATCACGGAACCTGTTAAAGGATTTAAGTCATGAGGAATATATATTTGTTATTGCATATTAATATTTAAAAGATGCTTATTATGCAATACGAGCGAACCTCAGGACCTGCCCCAAAAAGCCACACGCGTTGTAAAACGGGTCAGGTGAGAAATCCCTCACGATAAGAAAACCAGGGACGATTTGGTCAAGGCAATCGGCACATCTGCCTCGCCAGGTTTTTTTATATTGAGACTGAATGGGATCTATTTCGATCTGCCGTTTCGGCTGCAACAGTGAAAGTACATGTATGTGGTGAAAAGTGAATCGGAGTGACATGTGGTAACGTCAAGCGGACTCCCTTGTGAGCACCAGAAGTGCGGCTTGCCGTTGGAGGCAAGAAGACAGCCCATAAGACATACATGTCCAGTAGGTCGGACTCTTCGCGGGCGCGTTACAAAGGCGCGAAAAACTGCTGCTTGGACCGTAGCCGAGGCGAAACGAGAGGCATAGCATAAATTCGAGGAAGAGATGGAACGCGACTACTGCATTGCTAACGAGTTATTCTGGCGAACCATTCGAAGGCCCCGGCAAGGCAGGCAACATACACTTCGGGTCGTGAAGGACCGAAACGGAACGGGGAGATCTTGACTGGCAAGTGGAAATACTTGGAAGGTGGAACTTTGAGGAACTCCTAAATCCACCCACGGCGGACTCTCGTGTACCCTACTCCAAGCCTATTTGCGCGGAGAATAGTCTCACCATAGGGGAAGTTCAAGAAGCGATGTCTGGCTTGAAGAATGGAAAGTCTCCTGGTGTGGACGAAATCCGAGCCAAGCCTGAAAGCAATGGGCATCGATCTCTTTCTTTCACAGAGTACGTCGAACCGCCTGAGAATCGGGGACAGGCTGACATCTCCTATGGATTGGCAGACCGGCGTGGTAGTTCCTCTTTCTTAGAGTGGGAACTCGAGGGAGTGTACCAATTACCGCGGAATCACCCTCCTCAGTATATGTGGTAAGGACTGTGCCATGGTGCTCGAAAAGAGAGCGCGTGCAGTCGTCGGAGAAAAGCCATCCTAGATGAGCAATGTGACTTTCACGAAGGGCGCAGCGCTGCGATTCAGCTCTTCACTCTTCAGATTCTCCAGAGACGTTGAGAATATGATAATATTACGTGAGGTTTAAGTTTGTTTTGTGAACCTCGAAAAGGCGTACGACCGCATGCTTCGGGGGAAGCTGTGGGAGTGCCACAGGAGTATGGTATAAATGGTCACCTTCTGCGGGCCATACACTCTAGATACAGGGGTTGCAGGTTCGTGTGAACGGGATGAGTTAGGACTCATTCCCGTTACGTGTGGAACTCCGTCAGGGTTGCGTTCTCTCTCCTTTCCTGCTCTTCGTGTACTTGGATAGGATCTTTAGGGGTGGGTGAGGGTATCAGCATCGGTGGTATCGAGGTAAAGATATTTCTCTTCTCCGATGATGCCATCTTTATGGCCTGGTTTCGACAGAAGCTTGAAGGCGTGCTCGATCGTTTTGGCTTCGAATGTACTGCGGTCGGAATAAAAGTGATTGTCCCTTAAACAAAGGTTTTGGTTTTCTCGAGAAGTCCTATACAGGTAGTGCGTCTTACGGGCCCCCCACTGGAACAGGTGGAGAAGTTTAAGTACGTTGGGGTCTGGTTCTCGAGTGACGGGCGATACGGAAACGAGATCGACAGCCTCATCTCCAGGACTTCCGCAGTTTTGCGTGAGCTCTGGACTGTGGCTGCTAAATCTGAAATTTTCAATGAGGCGTAACTCTCGGTTTTTGAGAGCGTTTACCTCCCCATCCTCACCTATGGTCACGGATCCTGGGTGTTGACTAGGGAGCGGATTTATATGCAAATGCATATTTTTTTTGCAGCCTCCTAGAAACATGCAACCCAGGTAGGATCATGCCTTATTGGTAGAGGAGGCGATTTCTGCCATTTAAAAAACGTATGAAAATGCATATTGTTAGGTTTTTCTCAGCATATTATATTTACGTTTATAGGGTGGTTACAAAAAAAAAACGCTCTACCGTTTCCTATGGGAGAAACACAGTTTCATAAATGAGGGGGGAAAAAGTAAATTGGATACGCGATCGATGTATGACAGTTACAAGGTGTTGAAATGCTTGCCAGCTTTTATTTTTATTCTTTTTTAGCACCCCTGCCTAAATTGTGCAAAGCCCATTTAGAGGTGAATTAAAGGTGGTTAGAGGTGGATCATTGCACCTCAAGTGATGTAATGACCTGTGCTCGACCGTATCCGAATTCAATGAACTTTTCTTAGCTTTAACTTTTCAAGGGACAGTTGCATCCAGCTGATACTTGACAGAGAGGTTCATGAGCCAACGAGGTTTTTTTTTTCATTTCCGCAGGATGGCACTGTATTCCGATAGAGGGCGCTGTTGTTGACCAGGTGACCAAGGGTGATTACAAAAAAGCTCCACGTTTTCAAAGGGGAGAAAGTACGATTCGTATTCATATGCCCTATGCACTGCTCAAATAATTGTTCTGAGAAAAACCCATGCAATCTTCTCAACACCTCCTATATGTCCAATATCAAGAGTTTATGAATCTTATGTTTTTTGCTCGAATACATGAATCTTACTTTCTCCCCTTTGAAAACGGTAGAGCTTTTTTTAAATCACCCTCGGTCACCCGGTCAGCAACATCCCTCTATCGGGATGCAGCGCCATCTTGCGGAAGTGAAAAAACCTCTTAGACTCATGAACCTCTCTGTCAAGTATCAGCTGGATTCAACTGTCCCTTGAAAAGTTCATTGAACTCTGAGACGGTCGAGCCCAGGTCATCACTTCGTTTGAGGTGGAATGATCCACTTCTTAGCACCTTTAAAAGCTGGCAAGCATTTAAACATTTTGTAACTGTCAAATATCGATCGCGTATCCAATGTAATTTTTTTTTGCTGCATTTATGAAACTGTGTTTCTCCCATAGTAAACGGTAGAGCGTTTTTTTTTAACCACCCTATATATGTGCATATTTATGCATATTTCACCATTTTTTGGGGAAAAATAAGGGTTTTCCAGGAATATCTTCTTTTTTTTATCAGCTACCGATAAAAATTTTCGAGCGGTTATGTGCTGTGACCAGTAGCGTAGCGATGGGGTGGTTTGGGGTGGCGAAACCCCTTAACTCTGCCCTATATCTATCCGCTACTCCCGAGAAGAAGGAAATCTTGGTCCCCGTTCGTTTCCCTTAGCCTCCATTGGCGAGTTCCTGGCTTTGCTGCTGGCTGTGACAGCAATAGATCAACTGAACCCAGTATGACCATGAAATTTTCAGTGAAGTTCCATCTTCCGAAAAATTCGTACTGCATAAAAAAAAGCATGTTTTTGCGTACAAGGTATTTTTCTGCATTCATGCACATTTCATGCATATTTTGGCATTTTTAGGTGCATATGTATGTGCATATTTTTGAACTTATTAGCGCATATAAATCCGCTCCCTAGTGATGACCGAAAGAATCAGGTCGCTGATATAAGCTGCCGAAATGAGGGTCTTACGGCAGGTGGCCGGTGTAATGCCGAGTGAGAGGATGCGGAGTGCCGCCATCTGTGAGAACCTCAGGATCGAGCAGCTACGCATTTGGGTGGAGAGTCCTGTGCCCGTTGATTTGGATACCTCTCTCGCATGCCTTCCGAGAGACTCCCTTAGTCTTTCAATGTAAATTGATCGACAGAAGACCAGTCGGTAGGCCTCGTGCAAGGTGGTCGGATTGCATCGCTAATCTTTGCCACGAGAGGCCTGGGTATACCACTTGCCGAGTTTGGGTCCGTTGCGCAGGATCGCGAACGCTGGAAGATGTTCCTGGGCTTGCTTGAAACGCGACCCCATCAAATTGGGATGAACGGTTTAAACAATGTATGTATGAACTAATTATGCAGACTTAGCTAAATTTAATGTATAGGAATCAGTGGAAGTAAGGACTGAACATTTTTTCACCTGAATGTAATTCAACCAGGATATTAGGATTATACTGTATATATACAGTATGTGAAGTTCATCAAGAAAGTGGCCATGTATTTTATTCGATTATAATTGGAAGCCATGTACCTAAGTCACATGAATGTCATGGTTTGTGCTCATCTCAGTATCAGGGATTTGAGATATTGGCTTTGCTGTAATTCAAAACATGAGATTTAGAAGATGCAGAATGTATTAAGAGTTTTGTATGTTCATTGTCTTCATTTTGGGGATAAGTCTCTTCTTTGATTGAATCTTTCAAACTTTTTAAATTAGAAAGTATTCATTAAAAAATTCTGAGATTATTCATGAAAATCCAGTCAACCTCCTGTTCCTACTTAAGTATTTTAGGGAAAGGTGTCGCTGGAATTAAAATTTTAAAACATACAAGATCCAAGAAAACCCTCTTCACTGAGTAATGAGTGAACAAACCCCCACCCAGAGCCACCACTGACCCCATGGTGATAGGAGGATTAAACACAAAAGAGGGTGTGTCACCAATGGAAATCCACTTGTGATGACATGCTGTGTATGGCACTGATTGCTGGATGTGAGCACAGTGAGGAGATGGATACAATAGTTCAATAGTGTTGAAATTGGCATTTCTTATTAGTATGGTTCTGAAAGGCTACCTTTTAATGAGAAGCACAGTGGTTGAGTGATGGCATAAGAGCAGATTAGTGATTTACAGTTCAGAGAATCTCTGTAATCATAAGCTGTTCCTTAGGATTTATGCTAACAATAATTGAAAGCATTACATGTTGAAAAATTCTATACCTGAGCACTGCCAGGAAACATCAGCAGACACAGTTGTCTTCACACCAATTGGAACAACACCTACCCATAATGAGTATTTAATAGGGGCAGAAGTCTCACTGCTTTTAGTTTGAATGATATCAAACTGTTCTAATGAGTACTTTCCAAGAAAAATAAATGGAAATATTACTTTATGTTCAACCCTTGTTGCTATATTATGAGTGAAAATGGAAAGGTTTAAAATTGGAGGTCTTCTTTTGTCATACCCTGTGTATATTCCTGGGTAGATGGAAAGGTTTCTTAATTAACCCTTTGAGGAGTAAGTATATTTACAGGCTGGTGCTTTCCTGCCCTGGGAGGAACTTACTCTTAAAAAGAAAAGGTAATAGGCTATCATAACCTGAGGAATTTTGTTTTTTTTTCTTTAGTGAGAGGGTCAAGAACTTCCTGGATGACCCTGATGCAGGACAAGAATTAAACTTGGGTGACTTCACTGCATATCACAGAAAGCTCATCTATGAAGAGATTCATGAACGGTGAGCTGAGTGTTATTTAAACCTAACCTATCATATACTAGCATTCCAATATTGGGATGGTTGAAAGTTGTGCCCTGTATTTTATAGCAAACGCTGGAAATTATTTATGCATGGCAGTATCTGTTTTTCTGGCTTGTCTCATGGGCCTGAGTGAAATCTTGGAAATATTCCCATAAGTAGGGTTTTATTTAGCAATACCTTGGGATGACCTACAATTTAGTTGGTACAAAATGGCATGTGAAATACTCCACCACATATCAGCTAGATGGAGCTCTCAGCCATGTCCAATTTTGATTAAAGTTGATAGAGATGTAGCTGAATTCATTTTAATTAAATATATATATATATATTTTTTTTTTAAAAGCCATTTCAGGATATCTTGCACTGTTCTCCCAATATATGTCTTCAACTGTTATTTGCTTTTGATTACCAGCAATAAAAACCCACACTGGAATTGTGGGAAATGTTTCAGCAATAATTTTCCTCCAGATGAAGGTAGAAATTTCATTCTGGTGTCACTTCAATTTAAAAATTACTCTCTTCCCAATGGTACAACAAACTAACCTCAAGGAGCCACCAAAAAATTATACTTAACCCAACAGTATGATCAATATGATAATCAAACTTTCTGATGTTTCTAAAATCTTGAGGCATGTAAAAATGAAAAAGTTTAAATATATTTTCATTTCATTTTGAGTAATTATAAGTGATGAAGATATGACAAGTAAAATATGATAATTTATATAAATAGTACAGAAATAATTTTGGAGAAATATAATTTAAATGTAATAAAATTATTATACTAATTAAAATAGTTATATTTATTTGGTGAAAAAAAAATTTTTGGATTGATATTGGGCCTGCTGCAGGGCATGTTTATGCCAATTTTCAACTTATCATCTTAACTTGGGTGCTAATGGTTAAGAAAGGAGCAGTACTCAAAAGTTCTGACTGTTGCTTCTTATATCCTTTCTCCTATGAGAAGATTTCAAGGCCAAATGTGGGTGGAGAGTGTGCCTGGGAAAGCAGGAGAGACAGAAATCTTGCTGCATCGAGGAAAGGAAGGTCTGGAAAATTGGGGGAAGGAGCCATGGAAGAAACTACAAAATGCCTTTGAATTCAGGAAGCTGATTGATTTCATCTCATCATCTGTCAGGCATTTACATTATTCAAAATACATTTGCATAGCACCTCATTGAGAAGTTAATTTGGCTGTTCTTGAAGGAGAAGCTGTTGATTGGGCATAATATGCTCCTTGATCTCCTTCACTTGGAAGAGAAGTTCCATCAAGACATCCCTCAGGAGTATGGTGAGATGAAACATTTGCTTCACACCCGCTACCCAAAGTGAGCCTCCATTCGCACAAAAGTATTCATGACCGTCTTGGGAAGTAATCTAAGTAGACCTGATCCATTAATGCAACAAGATAATTTTTTACTGTGATTCATTACAATTGGATTATGTCACCCTTATACAGAGCCCTGCCATAATAATTTGGTCACTCTCATAAATGAATGTATCTAACCTAACCTATCCTATTTATTTGTGATTAAGTATAAATAGGATATCTAAGTTTTAAGTGGGCAGATAATCAGTGCATGCTATTGCCATGCCAAAACTACGTGGATCCCACGATACTTCTCCATTTACTGTGGTAAACCTTAATGCCTAAATTCTTCATGAAGATGGCACTACATACCACACCTCTCATGTGACTACAGTCTATTAGAAAAATCAAGGCATTTAACTTCTTTCCTGGGATTTCCAAAGCCCAGATATGAATCTGATGAAGCATCTGGATCCTCAGCTGATCCTGAGCTGGATCCTTTTCAAGTCCCACCTTTAACATGGAATTTGAGGAAACCCTCTGTAGGTTACAAGTCTCTCTCTCCCCCCCCCCCCCCCCTTCCCTTCTGCCTCTCTCTCTCTCTCCCTCTGGGGAGTTCCCAAAGGCTGAGGCTGGATCAGTTACAAGTCTAGATTTTATAGATCTTGTGCAAGCAAGCCTGGTGCCTTCTGTCATTTATGTTTTGTTTTTTGTTTTGTTTACAACACCAGCATGCCATTGTGTCATGCTGAAGAATCATTATCAGAATCAATCATGCCTGGATTCTTAATGGAGCATTCCTCGTGTAGGTCATTATGCAGCATGCCCTAACTGAAAAATTATTTCACCAAGATTTAAACTTTTTTCCTTGATGTGACTCAAAATTGCCAAACAAAATGGCAGCAACCATGACAGATGTGTCAGAAAATGTGTGCAATTACTGGAATTACTTGCTAGGATTTTCCATTTAAAAATGGAAAAAATCATGAAAAGAAAATAATAGTTAAAAAAACTTAGATAGTACTTAGGTGCACTGTGCATGCTGTCACACATGTTACTGATTATTCTCACCAATTAGAGCAAGACTACTGTCTGTCCTATGTATATGTCTAATAAATTGCTGAAAATTTTTTTAAGCTGGTGCAGCCAGCAGTTATCTAGCTATTATCTGATTACAGTAATCAATTTCTCTTGTCCCAGGAGTTTTTATCAGTAATAATAATTTTTAAACAATATTGTCAAATAGGATCCTAGATATGAAACTGGTTGCTGAATGGGGTGAACTGGCCGACTTGTTCATGGATTCTTCCCTGAAGTGCATGGCTATCAGACTCTCAAAGGAGCCATTTCAGTGTGCAGCTGTAGGTAAGAACATCTAATCTTCTAACCAGATTTGATATTTGCTTTCAAGGCATCCATTTTCTCTCCTCCTTTTGTGGTCATTTTCATCTTATTTTGTACCCCATACCTTTTTTTTATTATGTATTTTTACAGCACCTGGGAATGAAGTCAGTGCTCGTTATGAGAAGAAGGAGGCCTTCCATGAAGCTGGATATGATGCCTTTCTCACAGGGCAGAATTTTCTCAGTGTTCTTCAGTACCTGAATCACATGGATAGTATGGGTATGCTATTGCTAGTAGATGTGAGGTCATCTACTTTTATAGTGGGGACAAAAAATCTGGTCAACAAGGGTTTTAAATTTTATTTATTGGGGGGAGGCATATTATAATTTGCATCAATGCATAGGTCAATAGATAAACATACAGCCAGCTCCAGGGGTCTGTGAGTTTTTGTCCATAGTTAGTTGATTAAATGAGCCATGCAGTTAATAACAATCATGGTGAAGGTAAACCTATAGGTGAGGAGAATAAACATAGAAGGCATTGGCAATAAGATACGTTTGTTGAATTGTATGCTTAATCTAATTTTAATTTCATTTCAGAAGTTACAGATTCATATTATCTTGTACCATGTTAAATTCCCCTTGAAAAAACATTTATTTCCATCTCATGCTGTCACCTTCAGCATGAGAGCTGGTAATATGCTATGTACAGTATGCGGCAAAAAAATGGCTACACTCATGTCTGGATATACCTCATCAAGAACTATGACAAGGAGAGATTTTACAAAAAATGTATTTAATTATAAATACTTGACTTAACATCTGACAATATCTATCCAGCCACTTCTGGGTCTTCTTCACAGTGTGGGCAGGGGCCCCGTCCTGCTGGAAGACATATTTGGTGTCCAGAGGGTAGCTGGACTTGATTCAAGGTTTGACAGGCTTTTCCAGTACGTCAATGTGCACTTTAGTGTCGACCTTGAGGCCCTGTTCAATGAAGACCGGAGGCATTTTCTTGCCATCTGAGGCCACAAGCCCAAAGACCATCACAGAGGCCGCATGCTTGGTCTTGAAGGTGAACCTGATGTGCTCAGGGACATCCTCAGGCCTCTGATTGCTGAAGTAGCAGTCATGGCGACTGTTGGAGGCATGATCGATGCAAAAGAGCTTCTCATCTGTGAAGAAATTCACTGGTTTTCTCTTTTTGGAGATCTGGAGGAGTTTCCAGCTTCTTGCTACTCTCTTAGTCTTGGAGGTCTCATTTAAGAGCTGCCTCTTTCCCCTGGCCCTTGACTTCACTCCCAAATCCTCTTTGACAATCCTCCTGACTGTCCTCTTGCTCACGTTCGTTTCCTTGGCCATCCTCCTCATGGACCGGATGGGGTTGAGCTGGATTTTTCCTTTTATCGCTCTGATCGTCGCCGGAGTCCTTGCTGAACATGGCCTTCCACTTCCAGGCTTCCTCTTGACATTGCCCGTGGCCTTAAATTTGTTGAGGACCTTGTACACAGTAACCCTGTGGATGTTCAGGGCCTTGGCAATCTCGGTGGGTGTCTTCCCAGCGTGAGATAAATTGATGATGGCCTCTCTTTTAGAATCCATTGCGACTAAATGCAAACAAATCTCAAAATCTTTGAACTATTTATAAAGAATCACCCAACCTCTACTTAAGAAAAAAATATTATGGCCCAGTTCCACTTCTGGAAGAAGTTATAAATCTGGACATGAGTGTAGCCATTTTTTCGCCGCATACTGTATATGCTTTGCATTAATATCAAGTATTGAATTATGCCTCTCACCCATATCTTAGTTGTAAATATTGCACCATTTCTCAGTGAATGGATACATATATAGGGTGTTCATATTTAAAGGCAACATAGGGAAATTTTTGCCACCTGTTTGTGGAGTTTAGTGCTTGCCTTACAGCTCACCAGACTGCATATCTGGAAGGATGAAACCTATCACTGGCGTGTTTCCTTGCACATAGGCAACCCGGTGGGCCTTATAGTGTTCGCCCACCTCCACCTACAGGTAGTGGCGTGACCAGGTTTTCGTCAGGTCAGACCAGCTAACTTCTCCTGGTCGGGGTGGGGCTGGCGCATTCAGACCAGAGTTGGGGGGGCTGAAGCCCCCCCAGCCCCCCCCCTCGCTACGCCACTGCCTACAGGCGGTGAAATATTCTTTGTGTTGCGTTTAAATACGAACACCCTGTATATGTATCTCTTGCTATAGCTGACTTTTCAATCTTATTCTTTCAGGGAATGGAAATGCCTCTCCACTGGCAAGCCCTAGACTTGAGAAGTTCTTGAACAAGTAAGGAGGCAGAAGTGCTTTGTTTCTCTCATATCTGTTCCCAGTTAGCCTGCATTTCTCAATAGTTTTGCAGATTATGAGTATTGCTCTGCTACAGATGAAACTCATTTGTTTTTTACATTGTTGACTATGATAAAGATATGCATGTTGTTACCTTCTGTTGCAGGCTGAACATAGCAATACCAGATGTTCCTTATATCAATCTTGCTGGACCAGATAGTAAGTGTCTACACTCATGCATTTTCTTCCTCAGCTTTCATTTGCAATTGCATATATTACTCATGGTAATATGTGAGAACTTGATAAGATATTAAATACAGAACTTCAAATAATTATTCTGTCACATTGAAATATCTTTAGCTTGGCAGTTCTCTTTTACACAGGGTTTCATTAAGATGCTATACATTTTCAAAGAGTTGCCTTTCCCAGTTTTTGAGATAAAGAAATGAAACAAGGCATTCTGGTATAGTATTAGGACACTAGTTTCAATAGTATGTCTGTAAAAGTGTTCAGAGAGAAAATCAAAGCAATTCACTTATTGGTTGTTTTCCAAGGTTCAGTCATAGTGTTGAGATGATTTTAAGATGGCCTTTAAAAAAGTTCCAGCTCCAATTCACTGCAAATTAAATTTAGGTTATGAAAAAATAAAATTTATGGGAACAGGGTAGGCTCTCTTTCTGACTCAATTTGTTGATTTTTCATGATTTTCCCTTTCTTTGTACACCTTGTATCTATTTTTTTTTTAAATTATAAATGAATAATGTTGAGCAAATCTGATTTAAATTGGGTGATTTTGCTAAAATCAGTGACTTTCTGGATACCCTGTTTAATGAGGAGCCATGCTTTGCATTGAATCCATTCTTTCTATACGTAGTGAGCCCAGATCGCAGCCATGTATTTCACCTCAAAATGCCATCATCCTGGAAAAATCAGGATATTGAAGAGCTCTTCTCTGCAGTTGGTGAGCAGCTGTAATTTTTTTTGCAAAAGTATCCCTGTGGATGCCCTATGACAATATTTAAGTTTCTTGGATTTCTGTCCAACAGGACCAGTCCAGATTGCATGGATTGATGACACATCAGCCTATATTGCCCTGAAGAGGCGTGAAATGGCAGCTGAAGCACTCACAGCAAAAATACCCCATAATGATAGTCTCTATCAAGTCACTACTTATGCAGACTTTTGTGCTGAATCCCTATTTGATTGCAAGAGGAGAGGGGAGAAGCGACAAAAACTTGAAGAGATCAATTCATGAGGCTCTTCCCTGATATTCAGTCCATACCACATTTGGCAAATGAGAGATCTCGGTCAAAGTCAATTCATAATAGTTTATCTATTGTAATAAGTCCTCTCACAAGAGCAATGAGGGCTTGCACATAATCCTGAATGAAATTGTTCATGAATAGGAGTGGACTGACTGCCAGGTGATTGTGATTTGAATGTCCAATAAGCTTGTGCAAGGGCAGGGCTTTCCATGCTTTTATACCATAGTGTCCAAAAAAAGAAGTGAATCAGAGGCTGAGTGTTGTGCATTGGTTTTTATTGAGTATGTTTCATTCATGACATCCCAGCGAGGCTGTGAATCTGGGAGGTAACAAAAATGGAGTAGAGAGGAATGAGGGATGTACTTCATCGCAAGTAGTATAGAGAGCATGAATGAAGCCATAAATAGAAATGGAAGGCACTGAGGCAGCTTTATATTGCATCTCAACAACGTGAAAGCCAATGAAAGGTTCTCTTGGTTGCATCTCCACTTTGCAATTTGTGGGCACCTGCCCCTGCTCCTCCTGCACCTCGTGCCCCACTTCCTTCCTGTGAGGGCAGAGGGTGAAAAGAAAAATTTCCCTTTGTTTAATTTTTGGCATGGTACTATCTGGAAACCCTGAAATAGTAATCTCACCATCTTTTTCTCCATCTTTGCCTTGATGTCTCGGGCAAGGGAATAGAAGGCCTCTTCCACGTTGACTGATGACTTTGCGCTCGTCTCCATGAATTTGATTTTGTATTCAATTGCCAAGGCCTCTCCACGTTCTCGGCTGACCTGCTCAAGACGTAAAATCACTGCAATCAAATGGATAAGGTGAACCTACCCCTACTGCATAGGTGCAGATAGCCTTGAAAAAATTATTGTGGGGGTTGCTGTCCACCACCATCTGTGGTCAGTGAGGGACCAATTGATTCTCTACCTTGATGCCTTTTTCTTTCATTCCTAGTTGAAAGGAGATCATTCTGTCTTGGTAAAAACAAGGGGTAGGGAACACATCCTGTACAATATCAAATGAGCAAATGTACCTATCAGTACCTTTCTGCTCAGGTGGACTGGGCTTGATATGCTAATTTAACATACTATGGAAAAGAATCTATTCCTTGTAATTACCAATTTAATTTCATTTTTATGAAACCAACGACACATGGATGCAAGACCCTGTAAATTTCCTGGCAGCATATTCTGCCTTCAGCCATGTTAAGTTAGGGATTTGAGAACTTGGGCAACCTAGCATTTCACTCTTGCTTTCTCTTACACCCATAAGCAGCATGCTTCCCAAGAGTATTATGATGTCATTCCTCCAGAAAATTAGGATTTTCAATCTTAGTGCTGAGTGAAAAAGAAATATCATGACATCTCCCTAACTGGTACACTACTTTAACTCATTATAGCCTACTGCCAACAACTTCTGAAGATACACAATACAGATTTCATTCCTAATGCACCTATTCTGGGCTGTACAAATCTGTGCCCACACAAATATCATTCTGGAACATTGGGTATGGTGTTTAGTGAGGGCACAGCCAGGAATTCAATTCTTTACCACAACATTATCTACAGCACTGTAAATGTGTGACCCCAACAATGTTCATAAGACCAGTTAATCTCCTACATACTCTGGAAGAACAATAGCTCTAACTGTCAAATACTTATACTGTCCTATAACATTGGTCAGTGAATGGTCTATCGGGTGGCATGGCTTTTGTAGGACTCCCACTTTTTGAATCTTCAGATGAAGAACAAAGCCAACAACAGTGCTACCATATGTGTAATATGATCTTGAAGAGAGTAATCACCATAGTTCAGACCAGTGACTGAGGGGGTTAGAAATACCACAGGAGCAGATAGAGATTTAGGCTCAAATGCTGAAACCTCACCCTGTACCATGTCCTGTAATAATTGGGATGATTTCTACCTCTGGGAAATTTCTCTCACCTATTAGAACTAAATTAGTCCCAGATCACTTATATAGTCAGTTACTCTCTGGGTCATTCCATGTCAAGTAAACACAAAGAAATTGAAAATCAATATGACCACTCTAATTTAAATTAAATTTGGTGGATTTGTAGGGTCCTTCCAGCTTTGCACATAAAGAGTCCAAGAAATCATGAGGACATGCTTGAGGCTGGATCAGTTAATGGAGATCCACCGTCACTTGGTCATGATGTTGATCATATTGTGTTCCATTGGCATCCCCTGGTGTTCCTTTAGACCTAATATACTACAGCATGAATGGCATTCCCTGAAGTAGCGGGCTGGTTCAGGAAGATTGCAGATGATCCATACAGTGATGATGGTTTTAGTGGGACATCATCATTGGCAGTTAGATCAGTAATCTTTCTGCACAACATTATTGGCTTTATGTTTTGATGAATTGTGCAGATGCACACTGCATACATACCACATGCTCCTGCTATGACACATTGCCTTGGAAGACCATCTGCAAATTGGGAGAGGCTAAAAGCTTGAATGGGGAATCTTCTTTGAACAGTTATTACATGCCTCTATTTGCTCAAAACTAGCCTTTTCACAACATGAACCAGTTTTTGAACCCATTTCACAGAAACAAAATCTTCTCAGGCATGAGCTGATTCACTTAGTTACTTTTGCTAATAATCCTGACAAGATTTGCTGTTACTGTAGGGCATGTTTTCTTGTTTGGGACTTGGCATAGACATGATCATTTGCTCCTTCTCAAGTTCTTTTGCTTCACACAACCAAGAAGTTAGATGCACTGAATTCATTGGATTCTCCTTATGCTCCAACTTTTTGGAAGGACTCTCCAGAGTTTTACCCTTTCACTTTTCTCTGCAGATGCTTGGAATTTGAATTTCAGTTGGCTGATGGTTTAATTACTCAGCTCTTGATTATCATTGCTGCCATCTGAATCCATTTCAAGAAAATTCAGGACAGCCCCAACCCTCTTCAACTTCTCCTTTGAAAATTTGACTTGTAGAAGTTTCTTCTTGATGATATGAGATTCTCCATTAGAATTCAAACTTTGATTCATGGATTGTAATGTCCTATGTTGTTCACAGAAGACCTCATCTTCAACCATGTTAGTAAGGTTACTTAAACCAGACTCTCGCTGACTTGAATGATGATTTGCTTGACTCAATTCTTGGTAATACTGATGCCTGCACAATATTCTTCCAGCAATCATCACAGATCTCAGCTTCAAGTGTAAGAGAAGGAAGTATGTAGCACATCCATGGCAAAACTAGCCAAAGGTTCTTCTTGGATGAATTCTTCCACTGCAATTCATGCAATTCTCTGGCATCCCAATCAAGACAGAGCAAATAGTGCATCGAAGTGCAAGTTGATGCACAAAACTTGAGAAATTGGGATGCCAACAATGCTGAGGTGGCCCTTACATAACAATGAGAAAAATGCTTTTTATAGAAGTTTCTGGAACCTTAAAATACATCAACTTTAGTTTTTTCTCTTGATTTTTGGTCATTTACTGACACTATTATTTCCTCTTCTTTTTTATTTATTTATTTATTATTTATATTTTTTTTTTATCTCATTGCAGTCCAAATTGAAATTTTGTGCATCTATAGAGAAGAAATGGAGTGTGTCAGGTAAATAAAAATCACTTTTTCCCAGAAGTAGAGGTTAAGGACATTTGACCTCGTAACTCTTCTTTGAAACTCCATAAAATACCTATCATTTAAAAAAGAATGAGAAGAGCTTTAAAAAACCACTTTCAGCTCAGCTTTTCACACATGCATTGTAATCACAACTTCATGCTACCTTGTTATTTCCTTTTGGTGTGCATTTATATTGCAGCCTAAGTAGCAGTGCTAAGTTAATTTTAGCTTCATGCAGTACACCTGACATTAATTGTAATGGGGAGAAAGTTCAAAAGGGGGTATACTTTTATCCCAACACATGGAGGGAAGTGTATTCCCTATACCCTTTGAATCATTAGTCATTAATCCATGGGACTTGCCCTTTGAGTAGGGTGACCAGATTTTCTTCTGGAAAAACCAGGAAATCATCAAGAAAATGCCAGAATGTTAGTCCCTGCAATAGAAAAAAAAACTGGGACATCAGGATGGAAAGGAAAATTAAAACCAGGACATAGCATGAAAAACTAGGTCACCCTACCTTTGAGTGCGAAGAAATGGTCTTTCAACATGGCTGCAAAATATCATGCTTCAACATCAAATAAGGAAAGGATGAGAAGCTTCAAATGATGACATTTAACATGCCATGTATACACTTCTCCCACCTTTTCATATACCTGTAGATTCCATTAAGCCATCATCCTGAGGTGAAGGTAAATGAAAGGGAGCATTTTTCCGGTTAAAAAAAAGTCATTTGCAGAGACAGAGGTCTCCTATGTAACTTCTCCATGATCTTAACTGGCCATTTCATCAGCACATTTAGTTATTCCTTCCTTCACATTCAAAATAGCTAGCTATGGTTATGCAATTCTTATATGGCTGAATCTACAATTGGCTAGGGCTATGCATAATGCTAGTGTAAGCGGCAAGTTGTATCTAGGCCTGAGCTATCATAGCGTACATCGAGGACTCACCTGCCTTTCTTGGTTCTTATCACATTTGTTCCCTAAAATCATCTTTTCAACATCAGCAGAGGCATGCTCTTCGATGTTTCGAATCCAATTTTTGATGTTTTCGAAACTCCTTTCATTCGTGATGTCATACACCAGGAGAATTCCCATAGCACCACGATAGTATGCAGTGGTTATGGTTCTAAATCGTTCTTGTCCAGCAGTGTCCCATATTTGGAGTTTGATCTTTTTCCCATCGAGCTCGATGGTTCTGATCTTGAAATCTATGCCGATCGTAGAGATGAATGTGGAATTGAAGGCATCCTCGGAGAAGCGAAACAGCAGGCACGTCTTCCCGACACCGGAATCACCAATTAACAAAAGTTTGAAGAGGTAATCATAAGTTTTTGCCATAGGCCTCGCTCTCCAATGAACTTGCGATGCTTGCTTCACTCCCTCATGATGCCATGGAGGCCGCCCTGTTGAGAAGTAGTGACGTCAACGGGCATGGTTTATGACGTCATAGGACATCATGGCGACTCGCTCTGCGATCCGGACTCCGTCAGCCGCAACGCACGTGTGATGACGATACGTGATCCTTCACTCCTGCCATGGCCAATCTCACTGGAATATCTGGCTTTCAAAGCCTCCAGGTCAATTAAGACTCCAATAACGGATATCCAAGGATTATGCTTAAAATTGGGGCATGTCCATGCCATCAGGCATACAAGCATGCCCCTTCTGTGACTATCTTTAAGAAGAAACTAGATGCTTTCAAGTACAGGCAAAAAGGTGGGGGGCAATGCTGACGTTAGGTACTAGACAGTAAGCAACTAGGATAGTCAAATAACAAAAAAAAAAACAAAACAAAAATATTTAGCTTTAAGAGGGTTAGGCCTACCCTAAAATTAAGGAACGCTCGACCGCGACACATGATATCGAAATGGGCGAAATCGCCTCTTGATATCACTAACTATCCTGAATCCTGAAAAGGATCGTGAACTTTCGTTAACACTACTGTTTACGTTGAGGAGCAGGAAACCGACCCTATATATGTTATTGAACTGCAAAATGAAAAGTGAAAATGATAAAATGAGCAAGATGTATGAAAACCATGCAAGACACAGCAAATTAAGAAAATACGTGAAAGAAAGAAAGAAAATGCATATAGAAGTATTGAGATTATTAAATGGTTGTGTAAATTTAAGAGCAAAGGCATCAAGACAGAGATAAGGACAATATTAAAGTCTTATGGCAATAACCACATAATTGGGACAAGAGGGAAAAGCAGAACTTTTATAATCTTGCACTTTAATATGTAGCTAGAACATTTTTCCCATTAGAGAAAATGCTAAATTTGTCTGAATGTAATCTCAAATATCCTTCTTTTGATGACTTAAGCCTTTGATGATGCATGTAATTTACATATATTAGGTAAGATAAAGGATCCAGAATAGACCCTTGCAGATTTCCTACATTGACAATCCTCTTATTGCTCTTGACTCATGATTGCTCTTAACATCAATCTCAACATACTTGCCCTTATTATCTAAATAGCTTTTAAACTTCTCATGCACATTTCCAGTCTAAGTGCACCTTTTTGGTTTTATTTATCTTTTTTTTTTGGGTGGAGGGTAGAACATCATGTGGTGCTGTATCAAATACTTTCCTAAAGTCAAAGACGACCCAAATACATTATTACTTACATCAGTCTGTTCCCTTTTTTTTATTATGAGTGCATCCAGTGCTACATTAGTACTCATTTGCTATCAAACCATCTTTCTTCAAAGAAAAAAGTTTTGTATTCTGAAGAGCATGCCAGTATTTTTTACACAAGTTTTTCTTGGATCTTTGAAGAAGTTGGAAAAATTGAGATGTATTTATAATTATTGATGTCCATAGACTCACCTCCTTTGATTAGGCTTAACTGTTACAAGTTTTAAACTGCCTAGGACTCTCCAATTAGCTGTAATATTATAAATATATATTGGTAAGGGGTTTTGCAATATCAGCTCCAATCCATTTCACTTTGTTCGTTGCTTCAGTAGAGGCAATCTAAGATTTTTTTCATTACTGCTATTCTCTGTTGTTTATTTAAAAAAGTAATTTCTATTAGCTTTCTCTTAAATTTTGCATTATGTTTTGATCTTGAGTTCTTAATGAGTCGTTTTCTTTTTTTAAACTTGGGCTCAAATGCTGACATCTCTTTTAGTTAATGGTCCTTCAAGAATCCATGAACTCCTTTGGGCGAAAAAGAGCTCTCTGCTTAACCCTTTCAGACCTGGCATCCATTCCAATGGACATTGCATTAACATTGTGTCTATGGCAATTTCTTAGGATTCTTGTGACTTTGTGCTCTATATTACACTACAATGGGCGCAATTATGCATGGCTCAGTTCTATCATAGGCCTTCTTTCACCCATTGGCTTTGTTTTCTTCAGTTATTTTATGAAATGTTTAATATATAATATATTGTATGATATGGTAAATTTATACAAAATATGAAAACTACATATAAAGCATGAAAATTTCAATTACAATCACGAAGAAGCTCAAAAATGCAAAAAAGGATATTACTCTGATAGCGGCGGCCTTAACCCTTTGAGCCCTGAGTTCCTGAGCAATTTTGAGCCTTCTGCCTGAGCTCCTGGGCCAAAATTTGCTAATAATGGGTATACAATGTTTGTGCAAATATCATAGTTGTAATAAAAGAGATGAGATTGATGCTTTGCATGCAAATAGCAGGATGACGTACCTTCATTTTAACGCCAGAATTCTTTCTTTGTGTGCCAATCAGGCAATACATCATTTCTCTCTACCACCGGTAAAGCGGTGGTGAGGGCTCAAAGGGTTAATTCAGGTCTGAAAGGGTTAAAGATTCCTAACTCAGCTAAGTTAAATTTCAGCATTTGAGTCTCAGAATATAACTTTTCTCTGTTTTCCATAGAGGCAAGTTAGCCAACAAACATGTAAGCAGGGTTCACACTAGCTTTTCAAATCTTGAGTCCTGGCGCCTAACTTCAGCTCAGTGGGAACATGTTCAGGTGGTTGTCAATGAGTCCCACAGACTTGTGTTTTGTAAATTTGAGTCCCTCCAAGAAAATATGAGTCAGTAACTCGCTATAGTGAGTTAATGTGAACCCTGCATCTAAGACTTTTATTTCTTTTCATATATTTTTTGTTCATATTGAGTGATTTCCATTTTTTCAATACAAAATCAGGCTTTTCCCTGAATTCTTCATCAACATCTTTCATGTAAGAATTTCTCTTTGGTTGTATTTTAAAAATAGTTAATTATTTCTTGAAATTCCTTGTTTTCAAGTTTTTTCCAATTGATAGCAGTTTCATTTGGCCTCTGATATGTTTGTTTCTCCATTGAATTTATTTTAGATGCATGAATATAAAAAAATTAAATTTTCTCAGTTTGATAGAAATTCTCCCACTTTTTATATATCAATTTGATTATGACAGAATATGTGATTGCAGTACAGCATGTTTATGTTTCTTGTTAAGGTGAAGGATGAATTAAAGATTTTTATCTTGTACTCTTTTGCAGCTTGTTGCACCAATCACCAGTCAGTTAAATGGCCTTATAGCATCCTTCCGTAGTACACTGCTGAAGTGCGGGGATTCAAAAAAGCCACATGTGTGGAAATCAGAACATGGATTTGATGTCCTCTGCCAGGAAAGCTTCAAATGTGTTAGTTGACCATGCAATTTGCTTAACTGTATATATTTTGAGTGTAATTTTGTATAGGCTCATTTTTCTCCTTTTCAATCCCATTGGATAGGCTCTGGAGTTGTCCAAAGGATCTACTGCCTTGGAGGAAATCAGAAGATATATTGGTAGGGAGAAGAATTACTCCAGGGCCCTCCTTCCATGGAGGGTATCCTATGCCTCTCATCCATCCTTCATTGAAAATAAGCAGGGATTCCTTAATTCCTCTAGTCTGAAGCATATGGGACCTTTCAGAATAGGTGAGTGGAAATTCACGCGACTCAATTTTTTCAGATCTGCCTTGTGTGCATTCTCTTGATATTCATACTGGGACATATTAGGCCCAGTAGATGTGATGCTGATTCCTCATCGTGGTTTCAAGACGGAAAGAAGGAGCAAAGGAGATCCTGGTGCCTATACCGAGAAGGAACATGCTCCAACGTTTACTAGTCGTCTACGACTCAGCAATGTTGGTGGTTCAAAGACAAAAGAAGCTGATGTTTCTCGTACGCTGCTTGATGCTGAGAAGAATCCGCGACTGAAAAGTGTGCAGGTTGCTCCAAAAAAGTTTTATGGCTTCATCCAGATATATGATTCTCAATCATGGTACCTTCCCTGAATTCCAGGCTTGCTGCATGTGGAAAATTTGTCAACTGACGAGCAGCATCGTTTGAAGATAGCCTTTGCTGAGGGGTACTTGGCTGCTGAGCCAGGAAAAACACAGAGCCGTTCATATAGGATCTTGAAGGCTGTTCAGAATGTCTTGGCAATTATTGTGTTTTTAGCCATCCTCTTCTCTGTTATGGGTGAGTGGTGCCAGACCTTAGTCTGGCACTACCTACCACTTAGTCAAATCAATAACATCAGTCAGCTTCTTAATGACCTTCATCGCCCCCCTGTAGGAACCATGAGTGGAGGCATTCTTCGCTATCAGGTGGGTAATGGGGGTGAAGTCAGTCCTGAGGATATTCATGTCACGTTTCAAGACGTCAGAGGTGTAAGTGGGCATCTGGGTACCAATGTCTTCCTTTTTCCTGCTTGTTGAAATTCCACCTTTTTTAACTACATGTTTCAGGTTGATGAGGCCAAACAGGAGTTGAAGGATGTAGTGGAATTCCTTAGGAATCCTGAAAAATTTGCTACTCTTGGTGGGAAGCTTCCTAAAGGTTCGTGAAATCCACCTAGATGAGTTTTAGAAGTGTGGATGTTATATTATGTGGCTGAAAATATGACTTCAGCTATCTATGAAATTAGCAATCAAAGATGTCAGTGTGGGTCTTCAGTTCAAAAAATATAGCAGCTTGAAGCTGTTCTGACTGGATTTTGTCTTCAATCTTATGGAGGTCCAGAGGCACCCATGGGATGATTTTCATGGAGACCCTTCCTAATTTATACAAAAGTCCCATGTATCTCACAGACACCAAGTAACATCTCCTGCCACAAAAACTACATGCTTGTGATCCATATACTGTATTAGGTGTGCTGCTGGTGGGTCCTCCAGGGACAGGAAAGACCCTTCTAGCAAGGGCAGTTGCAGGAGAGGCAGGAGTCCCTTTCTTTCATGCAGCTGGCCCAGAGTTTGATGAGATCCTGGTGGGGCAGGGTGCACGTCGAGTTCGAGACTTATTTCGTGCTGCAAAGGCGAGATCTCCATGTGTTGTCTTTATTGATGAAATCGACTCGGTTGGTGCCAAGCGTACGAACTCCATCTTACATCCTTATGCTAATCAGACCATCAATCAACTTCTGTCTGAAATGGATGGGTCAGTTTCTCTTTTTTAATATATAATGAGAAACTTCTAAAAAAAATTGTTATGCAGCAAAATTTCATTTTTATGAGGAAATTTTTTTCATGCAGATTCCACCAGAATGAGGGTGTGATTGTGTTGGGAGCAACAAATCGCAGAGAAGATCTTGACAGGGCCTTATTGAGGCCAGGACGATTTGATGTTGAAGTTCAGGTTTGTACTGTGATCCTCAAGCTCTGTCAATTTAAATATGCCATTCATCATTTTGGAGCTTATCCAGGTTATCCATACTCTTACAGGTGCAGGTACCAGACTTCACTGGTCGCAAGGATATTCTGGAGTATTACCTGGGGAAGGTGAAATATGGACCAGACGTTGACATTGATAAGTTGGCTCGTGGGACCACAGGTTTCACTGGTGCAGACATTGAGAACCTTGTCAATCAGGCTGCCCTTCATGCTGCCATGGAAGCTGCTGTTCATGTCATGCAAAAACATCTGGAATTTGCCCGGGATAAAGTCCTGATGGGTGAGGAGGGAAGCTGCTTCTCTTATTATTCCTTATCAGAGCACATTTTCAATGTCTTTCTCCTTTTCTTCTAGGACCAGAACGAAGGAGCCGAATCCCAGATGAAGAGGCAAATCTTGTCACAGCTTACCATGAAGGTGGTCATGCACTTGTTGCATTTTTTACAAAGGATGCTCAGCGTATTCATAAGGTCACCATAATTCCCCGGGGACCCTCCCTTGGCCATGTGAGTTCACTCAGTTGCAAGGGTTTTAACTTCTGCCTCCATCCTCTCATCCATACATTCACCTTATTTGTCATAGACATCATACATCCCAGAGAAGGAGAGATACCATGTGACACAAAGTCAGCTTGTGGCCATGATGGACACTTTAATGGGTGGCCGTGCAGCAGAAGAGCTCATTTTTGGATATGACAAGATCACATCAGGAGCATCCTCTGACTTGAAGCAGGCAACTGCCATTGCTTCTCATATGGTAAAAGAACTTGGAATGTCAGAAAAAGCTGGGTTGCGCACCTATGATGAACCAAAAAATGCCATCATTGTCACATCTGAAATGAGTAGTTCCTCAGCTGAAGTAGTTGACTCCGAGATCAAACGCATCCTTCAGGTTTGTCCCCTTTTTTTTCCACCATGTTTGTAATACCCATTAAAATATCTTTTAATTGCCTTCGAAAATGGGAAAATCTCAAGTGTCATTACAATCATACTGCCCTTAAGGTATACCTCCTCTTTTTAATTTTGTTGCATTTGAAAGAAGGCAATTAAACTGAGATTTAAATGTTCATCAAAGTTGCTCAAATTGTCTCCCTTGGTTGCTCATTAGTCACTTGAATCAATAATTAGCCCATCCACTGTCCTGTCTACTTATTATTTTGCTAGGGGGTTTGGAAGGCAACAGTGATGTGTAGAATCATAGCTACTTTCCTTGCTCTGCAGCAAAATGAAGCTGATGGCAGTGGGCTTCATTTGCTTCCAAGTTTCTGTTGAATCTTGAGATCACAGGATACAGTTTGTGCAACTTGAAGAAACACTTTCTCTGTTTGACTCCATTATTTCCATTATTACACGAATGATTGAGTATGCAAGAATGTGCATGTGACATCAATATTACTATAATAACCCAGTTTATAGCCACATTTGAAAATATCAAATATTAATTGACACCAAATGAAGACTGTTTTCATAAATGAAGAACATGTTGCCATTGCAGGAATCATATGACAGAGCCAAGGCAATTCTGAAACAGCATTCCAAAGAGCACAAGCTGTTGGCTGAAGCCCTCCTCAAGTATGAGACATTGGACATAGAAGATGTGAAAGTGATCATGCAGGGTCGAATGCCTGTTATTAATAAGGAACCCGTCTCTTTATGAACACAAGGATCATCTTATATAAATGCATCACAAACCCCTCCATTGGCTAGCCTTGATGGTTCTCAGAATATAACTTTTCTCATTTTTCACCCTGAATTGGGTGCACAGCTTTAGATTTTTAGAGACTATTCCTGCCCATTTAGAGGTTCTTGCTCCTTATTCTTGTCTGATGTTACAAGCTCCATGAGATGGAAATGAAAATTATGATCTTTTATGGCAGTTCTCAAAATATACTTGACCTGGCTTATACTTCTAGCTCTCCAGAAGAAAAAGAAAATGAACTTCAAGTCCAAATCCCTCATTCTGAGAAGGCATTGGTCAATTCATTTCCAGTCATCATTGGAAAAAAGACAGACAAAAAGCTAGCTTGATTGACACCATGTGCTGCTCCTCTCAAGCAGAAATACTTAGAAACATAGCATGCAGCACTGCTGGATGCATTGCATGAATTCAGTTCACAACCTATGCACCATGGATTGCCTTTCACCATATGTCAACAATGGACCTGTCAATTACAAAAGCTGGAAGAGTTCTAGAAGCTCTGGTTTGAGACATGAAACAATGATTCAGGTTTCATGAAGTGCATGTGCATTATGCAAGACTGAGATACAGGGAGGCTGATGCTCACTCGTGCCTTTCACATCGAGAGCAAATCTCAAAATTCAAGTGAAAGAGTTCTGTTTTTGGCACAAATTTTACCAACTCCAAACTTTGCCAGCATGTGACCCATGCTGCCCAAATCTGTCTGTATTTTAATTTAGTGGTCAGGTAGATAATTTTTTTTAGTTATCAGACAACCAAAATTTCAATAGACAGGATGGGAAAAATCCTGTCCTGTCTGTATCTTACCCTGCAGGAAAAGAGGCCCACCAAGAAAACATCAACTTTGGGATTGAAATGATCATTTGCAGGAAAAACTAGAAGCCATGAAGTCAGTTGAGAGCCAATGAGTAGTAAAAATGAATGGATCATGTGTTTTAATATAATTTAATTTTTATGGGCAGAAAGCTGCTTGTTTAACCCTTCCACTGGCACTCCTGTTTATGAAAGTGTAAAACGAATTACCCTTCAAGAAGTAATTATCCATTGTGTGGGTGGACATTGGGGCATGGTGTACATGTACAGGTATGTCTACATTGTGTATTAAAAAGAACTCAGCTCCACCATTTTCCACATACAAAGCTCTGGTTCAACCAGATTGTACAGCCTTTGATCCCTCACCTTCCCATTCATGCTGTTAAAAGACATAGTCTTGCCATTTCCCATCAGTGTTCTGATCACTCCTGGTCTCACAAAAAAAGTAATAATTTGCACTCAGCGAAAGAATATTGTTAGTGAGGCACAGAATTGAAAATTGCATGAGTGCAGACAGAGAAATTTAATATGTAAACTAGTTTGCCTGAGAAAATATGGCACTCTTGCCCACTGCCCAAAAAGTTGCAAAACCAAAATTTGAGTTGTAAAAATTTTTTGTTAGATAAGCAGCGAATAAAAAATATCAAATAAATAAATGTATGAAGACAAGGATAAAGCAAGTGAGGTTAGGATGCAGTTTATGGTATACAGTGGGCATAAATAAAAAATAAGTATGCCCACAGGGAGATTCCTCCTCTCTCTAACCCTTTTCCCTGCCTGAGAACTACACGAAATCCTATCTTATCCTGGTGGGTCACTCAACTGAAGTTTCAGGAATGTAGTCATATTTATATTTAAAAAATTTGTATTTTGATGAGAGGGTAGTTAAAAGTACTTAACTGGGATGTACAAGGTATGCCTGCAGGCCAGATCCATTGCATCATGTTTTGCATTCAACATAGAAGTAGGATAGTACCCTAAGTGTCCTTTTCTTATAGTCTGTCTCCTGAATCCTTGTGGGCATTGCCTACTGCCCTTTGAGAACTGCTATAAAAGGGATTAGCACTTACCAACTGAGTTGATTGAGAGACTCCATACTTAATTGAGGGGGTGGGGAGGTCATAAAAAGGGAAGTTGAGCACAGAAAAGTTTCTTTTTCCAAGTTTATTTCCACAAAAATTCCCCTTCGTTAACATTATTGATCTCATTTGTCATCATCGGCATTGACACTTATCTAATGAACCTCATTATCCTTTGACAGTCTACCGCATGGATAAGGATTCAGGATATCGATTATACTTGCATTTCCCATTCATAAAAGAGTAATTAAAAACTTATTATTTGGCAATAAAGTCTGGCCTAGCCAGAACCTGAGCTGGAAATATGGTGCACAGTATCATAGCATGATGGAAGTATTGCAGGCATATAGGTAACCTTGCCTGGCTAGGCTGGATTCAGGCTGTCATCTTTGCCAAGAGGGACCCAGCATCATATTTTGACAGGTTCAGGTTGACAATGACCATGTTCACCAGTGGGTCTCAACTTTTGGCAAACTAGTGTATGAGTCCAAAATGTTCATGTTTCAAGGCAATCTGAATCTTAAGACTAGTAGTTTGGTGCTTTGAAGCTCCAAACTCCACCATACATTAAATCATTTGAAAAATAGCATTCAAGAACCTGAATATTGGAAAGGTGACTTAAATCACACAATTTGAACTAGTCAATCATGACTATAAAACATAAGTATTTGAAACGCTTTCAATTGTTCATCAACATTGTGATTTAGTCCCATTTTCAGTAAAATCCCATTCATTTTGATGAGAAAATTACTGGGGTCAAAATGCATAAACTCAACATTTGTCAAACACATTTAGGAACATATAAAACTGAATAGTCCTTATTCATTAAGCATACAGCTGCAACTACTCTTGCCAAAAACATAAGCAAGGGGCTATGCTGGAGTTAGAGTGAAAGCCAAATGTGGAAAACAAAAATGAAAGGCATGTGCAAAAAGTAAAAATTAAAGCCCAAACTTGTAAATTATACATGTAGCTGTGTAATCTGCTGGCTTAATACTTAAGCCAGCAGGCTCAGAAATCAAACAGTGCACATGATAATGAAATCTGAAGGAACCCTTTGTTCTGTTTACACATTGCCTGTGTAGCCACCTAAACCACCCTGAAATCTCTACAGAGGCTTGCTTTGTCCTGGACTGTTATTTCCAGGGGATAATGTCTCATATCTTGAGAAAGGAATGCTACATACTCCAACTTGTAAATAAACACCTGACTTGGTTAAATTTTGTGTCATAGGGATCATGCTTTATATCAAATGAACATAAACTTATCAATTTTACTCTAATGGCATTCTGTAAGGGGTTGCCTTGGAAGGAGAGGCAAACTCATGCACTTCTGCACAATATTACTGCTGCAATTCTTTCTGTAATGATATTCCTTTCAATAATGGTAATGCCTGCTTCTTAAGATGAACTTTCACTTCAGTGGAATTTGTTCCTAAATATAATAATGCATTGAGTTTTAAGAAGCAAAGGGAAAGCAATTTTTTTTCAAAGAGTATAGAATGTTGAAGATTCATTCAATCATTTCTCTTTCCAAATGAATCTATTCACAAGGTTGAATTAAAAGAGTTTCTATCACAGAATTCAGCTTCACTCATAGGTTTCAAGGATGTCTCCCAGGTGCTCATTATCACGAGGTTTCTTGAATACCTTCTTGCGATTAGCCCCCTTCTTTCTCTTAAGAATTGGACCTGCCTTCTTTGCTCCATTGTCTTGCATGAAACGAATTCCCTGCAACCAATAACATAAAAAAGTCACTTTCTGGTTCATCTACATAGAAATTTTGAGAGAAATAATGCCACTGACATGTTTCTCCAGGTACTCCTCAATTTTCTTATCATCAATGCCATCCACAGCAACACTTCTCCACAGCTTCTGAAATTCCTCATCAACCGCAAAGTCAGCAGAGCGGTCATTGTAGAAGACAATCTGTTTCTTGTCAATTGGTCGAGTCACATAGAGGACTTCTGAACCGAGTTGCTACAGCAACCAAAGAACTGAGTCAGGCAAATCAAGAAATCAAGAATCGAAAAATAATTCCCATCATGTACCTTGAGGCACTTATCAGACTTGGGCAGAGATTCCTGAATGTCTTCTAGGAGAATCCCACCAAATCCCTTGAGGTCATGCTTCTTGAGCAAGGACAAGAGGCTCTTCTTATTTTCAATTTTATAAGGAGGTTTGAAGACGAATGCCCCATCGCTCACTTCCTCAATCTTGGGATTGCTCTTTAGTGCTTCTGTCAGCAACCACTACAGAAAATATATATGCAAAATGAACACCACTATGCATACAACCAATGAAAGGGTGGAAGGATTGAAAAAGAATCTGTGCCTGTCTGATACGAGACCCCACATCCAACTGTGAGGTTTCATCAAGGATCTGTTCAAGTGTGAGTGGATAGGCATCTCCTTCTAGGTGTCTCTGCTTCATGAACTTCACAATCCTAGCCAGCACTGTGAATCGATACTGGGAACTACCTGCCAAGCCCTTGTAGCTGCAAACAAAGAGTTGGTTAAGAAACTTCCATATTGATTTCTTGATGAAAAGGTACAGCCTGCCTTCCTCCTGATAAAAAAAAAAAAAATACTACCTGAGTACAGACACAGGTGCTGATGCTGGGGCAGAAGCTTTCTTCCTGTTTTCTCCTCCAACTCCTGCTGAAGCATGGCCACTCTTTGCTTTCTTCTTCTCAACACTTTCAAGGAAAAAAAAAAAAGAAAGTATGACAGTAAGTTGAAACTGGCAAAAGTATTGACCTACAGAATATTCCTACTTATCATTTGAATTCACAAAATATTCACATACCCAAAATGAAATTCAATATTCCAGTATAGGCCTATCCCATTCAGTTTGTCCTTTTGTTTTTAAATTAAATTTTAAAATGGTATGAAGCATGGCATCAGAACAGTTGCATTAACTGAATATTTGTTTCGCTCCATTTTTTGTGCACCATATTGTCTTTATTGTTCCCTCAGCCACTCAAATCCAATTAAACTGTTCTACTAGGTTTTGAATGGTTAGGTTCTGTTCCAGTCTGAAAGCAGATCCAGGCATTGGTTGGGAACTCAAGCTGCTTGACCTCAACAGTTTCTGGTTTCGGGGAAGCACACAAGCACACCACCCAATTAGTTGAAGCATAACCTTTGGGTCTAACAATAGGAAGTCAGTGCATAGCCAAGTTTAAATGAGAGTGATGCGCAAACGAGTTTGTACTAGTACTATCTTCTACACCCCATGCTTAAAGTGATACAAATAAATTTTTAAATTATTGTAGCAGAAGAGTTTTAAAAATTATTAAAAAATGGAAATTTCTAGCACCAACCTAGGAGTGGCAAGAGCCCTCTTTTTGAAGGCGGCATGCTCCTTTTTAAGAGCTGGATCCATATTCTAGGTGAAATGCCGAATCTCCACAAAAGGAAAGCAGACGCGAGAAGACGCAACGCGATGCCGTTTCACATATCGTTGTGAGTGGAATCACTTCACGCATCTGCTTTCATGTGAGCCGACATATTTCGCTGGGACCGCAGAGGCGATTTTAATTTGGGCATCTCTGAGTGATGCCGAATCCAGTCGATGACTTATCTTGCCTTTCTTCACGATTTCATTGAATGTCTTCAATTCAGCGCACCAAAATTTACAAATACTTATTTGACCTATTTATTTCATTAAATTGTCTCATAAAATATATATATTGAGACTTGAGAAAAATGCAACTTTCTGAGGCGAGTCCCAAGACCTGTCGTGATCCTCGTGCCCTTCCCTGTTGGCGTAGAGCCCAGCACACCAGTGGCCGTGTTCAATTGCTTCCAAGCAGTCATATCCTTGTCAATAATGGCTTTCGATAAGGCAGATGGTGAGTGTGATTTCACTCTGTTTTCCTTGAAATTGGTAGGCCTAACATACTTTGTTAGCTGAGACAAAAGCAGATATTAATTTGGTCAGCAAGAAAATTAATTATTCACAGTAGAAAATGAAGCTTTCCTCAGACCTAGGTCCTTGAACGATCCATGTTCCTAAATCTAACTCACCAGATTCACACGTTTTTAAACTCCCTGACCCAAGTTCAAGAATATCCAACACTTGACTGTGTTGCACTGTTATAGAACTGTCTAGTGAAAATAGGTTCGAACTTGTGTGAGAGAGAGTTACTTTGAAGAACCCAACTAAGTGAGGGCACAACTACTTCTACCCAGCCCAACTGAATTGAAAATTTTGATTCTCTCTTCTTTATATACATGAGGCAGATTATGAGAGGGCTATCTCCTTTCAAAGTTTCTTATTGGCAGTTAATATTTTTAAAAGTGGTGGATGGACTTTCAAAAGCAAATCCACATGCATTTATATCATGACTCCTTTTATTGTTCTTATATTTGGAAAAGGTATGTTTTTGCATAGGTAGGGGATATGTACTGTGCTGCATCAATACTATTCTCATAATTTCCCTCCTGCTTTCACCTCCTTTGAGAGTATGAGCTGTCAGTCCAATAGTGTACAGCCTCAGATGTAAATACTAAACATAGTATGTTTGGTCCTTGCTTGTCTCTTCACTTTTTTTTTTTGGGGGGGGGGTTTGTCATTCACTTCTTCTGAGTTTTGAGTTTTTTAAGTCCAATGGTTGGATGTAATATGAAAAGGACACACAGGAGCAGGACCCCTAAAACACTAGATTTGATGGGGTTTACACTGGATATTGAAAGTACATGGGTTGTCCTGGATATAACCAGCACCTTTTGAAAAAGGGATAATTTCATTAATTATCTATTGCATCAGTTTTTGTCTCCAGTATCATAACTCTTTGCAGTCTAGAATGCTAGAACAACTGTTCCTTTGCTCCAAACTCACATATTCCTGCTTTTCAGTGTGATCCTTCACTTCCCCATAAAATCATACATGGTAAACCTGACTGCTAGAAATCTCTGTTTGAAAATAAAAGTAGGAGTGGGCAAACCTTACCCTTATGGCAAGAGCTTATCTTATTGATTTATTTAAAACACAAATGCATATACTAATTTTTGACCACTTATTGTAGACCTCATTTGCGCTTCTAATATTGAAAGCCTGGCACATTATATCATTTTGTCCATTGCATTGGTACATATCTGGAAAGTAAGGAGCTGTTGTGTTGAGGTAATGAAGACATTTCTTGATTTTTTTTGTGTCAATTAATTTGGGAGTCTTATAAGTTAGTGCTAATACAGAGATGCTCTGGCTGTCTTGAGCATGTGTGCCATCTGAAAAATATCAAACTCTTTGGAAAAACACTGTAGGTTTCTAATAATCATATAAGATAGGTTTGAGGTACCTCATTGAGGCTGCTACCTAAGGGATATTCTATCAAGCTAGAGCTGATGTAAGTACGTTTTCACCCCATAATACATGTTTTGTTTCAGATACATCTGACTCTGAGAGCAGCAGCAACAGCAGTGCCAGCTCAGATAGTGAATCTGAAACAGACCAGAAAAAAGTACGTCATCTTTTAATGGGACATGCACTGTTTCTGGATTGACTTTTAAACCTGCTTACATATACTCAATACTTTTATGTGGGCTATACTGTCAAGTTGTGAAGTAACAGTTCCCTCATCAGGAAAAGAATCTGCTATCTGCTTCACTCATTGGTTCACTCTTTGTAATCAATGGTTTCAATTACTAGGTATCTCTCCAGTTCCCTTGACAACACTAGAGAAAGGTGGATAAAAGTCAATCTTGAACCACTTTTATATTAATACTCTGTCTGTGCTTCTAAAACTCCTTGGGTGGGAAAAAGGGATGTTTTTATCGAGAATCCAAAGGATTTGTCCCTTTCCATAAAGAAATAAGGACTCGGCCTCAGCACATCTCAGTGCTGGCTGTACGTCATTTTATGATTATGAACCCATCAGCAACAGCAGTCAATATACCCCTGGATGGTATGAAAGTAAGATCTCTCTATATCCTGTATTGTCCTCATTCTTTTCTTTATTTAAATACCATACTATGATATTTAAATATTGGTTTAGTTAGTTCAAAAAGGTATCCTTGGATATCTACTTTATATTCCCACTGACATTGATGTCCTTTTTCATTGAAATGGTGTAAATTGCATTTCTTCTATATCCTTATAAGAAATTAAGGCCAATATTGCAATGATGAATGGCTGCTGTGAAAATTATGATGACTTCTTTTTACTGAAAAATTTATCTGATTTGATATGTCCATTACAGGAAGAGGAAAGTCATCAGCAGTCTCCTAGAGATCCTGATGGTAAGTAAGCTAATCCTGTGAGTGGCTGGCCCAAGGGATGCCTTGCTATTCACTTCTTAATAGGGATGTAACAATATTGTATTGGTATCAGTCAAATATTGAAAATGAGGCATCATTTTCATGATATTAGACACCTTTCTGGCATTATCAAGAGTGGCAATTAGTAGTCATGGTATAACATTAGGCCTAAGCCCCAACTTGAACCTACATGGGGTCTACTGAAAATGGAAGAAAAAATGAAAAATCAGATATCATCAATAAATGTAGACCTACGTGTTCATATATAAGGGAAAAATACCGGTAGACCAATATAGTAGACCTTGCATAGTCTAGCCCAGGGGTGTCAAACTCATATCGGTCAGTGGGCCGCATTCCCTACCCTGCAGATGCACGCAGGCCACACCCATCATTTCTCATTGAAATCTGTGCTGACAGTCAATTCAAGGGAAATTTCAAGAACAGGCGGCGGGCTGGATCCGGCCAGCGGGCCGTATATTTGACACCCCTGGTCTAGCCCATTACTTCAGCCTTGATTATTTGGATGATAGGGGCTTGGTCTAATTTATATCCAGTCTTGGTGAAAATCTCAATTTATTGGAAAGGAGATTGGGAACCAGTTAGAACTTGGTCAACTAGTCATACAAATTAAAATGGCCTTCACAATTGATTTAGATGCAGAAAAAAATGCAAAGAGAGATGGGACCTTGACCTTGTTTTCTTAATCTCATTTCCAGTTTCATTTTGCTGTCTTCATGAACCCCATAGCATTGACATTATTCAGTTGCTTATGTACCATAGTACCATCTAGAAGCAAACATCAATGCCACGTGCACAATTCATATCCAAAGTACAGCTACAAGATGTCTTGTAGGCTTAAGGAATGTACTGTCACCCAGACTATGACACTATTTCATATGTCAATTTAAATAGGTTAAAACTAGTTGCTCCTTCAGTATTGGATGTCATATCATTGGGAGAGGTCAATATTGTTACATTCCTAGTTCATATTTTCTGCTGATGAGAAGGAAAAACAATGGCATGCTATTAATGCATACAACAACAGATGTGGAGATGAAGTCTGCCAGTGAGAAAGCTGATAGCTCAGATGATGGAGGGAGTGAGAAGGGCAAGGAGTCAGATTCAGGAGAAGAGAGTTCAGGTGAGGAAGGGAGCAAGAAGGGTAGTGACACTGAAGTCAAATCTGTCAGCGAGAAGGGAACATCATCAGGAGATGAAAGAGATTCTCCAAGACCTGCAGATAGTTCCTCAGAGGAAGAAAAGGGATCAGACCAGGAGAAAAGTCCCAAAAAAACTCAGTCTGGGAGTGAGGATGAAGATGAGAGAAGTCCAAAGGGCACTCCAGATAAATCCCCAAAGGCCAGACATGATGACCGCAAATGGCAGGTGATGGACAAGAAAGATTCATCAGATGAAGAGTTCACTCAGAAGATAAAAATGTCTTACATAAGCTCTGAAGATGAAAAGAGTGAACAAGAAGCAAAAGATGAAGAACCTAGTAAGAAAGAAGAAACTGGCTCAGACAAGGACGATAAAGAAAAAGGTATCACTTACAAATTCATGAAATTCAATTAACATTGCAATATCACTTGGCTATAGGTATTGTCCAATTAAATGATGTTTTGATGGCCTTTTCATTTGTGTGAACAGATGGAGAGATGGAGGAAGCTCTTTTTGGTGATGCAAAAGATATCAGTTCTGAAGAAGAGAAAGAGGAAGATGCCAAAGGGGAAGCTCAGGGAGAGGAAGCTGAACAGGAAGAGGAGGAGGAGACCACTGAAGCTCGCATCAATGTTGAGATTCCAAAAATCTCCACAGATCTAGGGCGAGAACTTTTTTTTGTCCGTCTACCCAATTTCTTGTCAGTAGAACCAAGGACATATGATCATGAGACATATGAAGATGAGATTGATGATGAAGAAACCTTGGATGAAGAGGGAAGGGCACGGTGAGTCCAGTTATTTCATGTAAAAAGCCATACAATAATTTTTTTAAGAAATCACAGATTGATGATAAAGGCTCGTGTAAAAGAGAGATTCTACCATTAGAGGCAAACATAAATTCTGATATCTTGGATATAGAATGTGCAACTAGGAGACTATTAAGAAAAGAAATTACTTTCATTCTGATTTGACATCTTTTTGTGGTGTTGACTCCTTTCTACCATCCTTGCTTGCTTGCTAGGGACAATTGATTTTATTCGCAGCTCCTAAGATTCTTTAATAAATAATAAATAATGAGTGTGATTAGTGAAGACATTTCTGGTTTAGCAAGATCCTGTGGCCAGGGGAACTAGTTGAAGAGAATTATCTTGGGATACACAGGTATAGGTATCCTATGTTTGGCTGGTAATGACATCTGGTTGGCATAACACTCCAACTGATCTATGAAAAACCAATTACTTTTCTGAGATATATTCACATATATTGGGAGAGAGAAACATTAATCACCTACTCTTAATCCCTCCCTCTGCCTTGACATACCTGTTTTTCTTATCTGTATTTCCTCATCTCATGAAGATATGAGCAATGAGACACTGTTTCCCTTCTGTGTGTTTGTAAAAGATCGATTATGTTAACCTGGATGCTGCAATGGCTGATGTGGCAGATATTTGTTAATGCTTTCCATTTCTGTCTCTGCCAGAAGTAGATACAACTTCAGTCCCATCATTTTCTTGCATCAATTGAATGTGCATTGCCTTGTATCAGGCTGAAACTGAAGGTGGAGAACACAATACGGTGGCGTTTGGAATTTGACAAGGAGGGCAATGCCATCAAGGAAAGTAATGCACGTCTTGTGCGTTGGTCAGATGGTTCCCTGTCTCTTCACCTTGGCAGTGAAATATTTGATGTCTACAAGCAACCCCTCCAGGTTTGTTAGCTTTCCTGCCCTACCCTATCTGTTGGTTGCCTATGTTCTTGTTATATTCTTTTTTTCTGACAGGGTGACCACAATCACCTGTATGTGAGACAAGGCACTGGTCTTCAGGGTCAGGCTGTGTTCAAAGAGAAATTATCAATGAGGCCACATTCCACTGAATCTTTCACCCATCGGAAGATGACTCGTTCCCTTGCTGATCGCTCAGCCAAGACCCAGAGGGTTAAAGTTCTCAGTCAGGTTGGCTCCAACCCTGAAGCCAACCGAGAGGATCTCATTAAGGTAAGACTTTGAACATTTACCCATCTATCAGTAGAAATGGGAAGTCCAATCAAAATGTGGAAAGTGTGGAAAGGAAAGTTTTGTTTATCATTACTCTGCAAGTGGTTTAGTGAAGGTTACATGATAATTTGTGTGGATCCAATAGTCTAAGTAATAAATAAGGCATGGGAATCATTCCATGGAGGGAAAAAAAAATTGTTTAGTAGAAATGCTATGAAGAGAAAAATTTATTTTTGTTATCTTTTGCTGATATGTTCTCTGTTGGAGCTATCATAGCACTGCTGTGATGACTTTAAAGCCATATTACATGCCTCTCTCTTGTTTTTTTTTTTTTACCTCCTTGAAAAGTCTTTTACCTTTATTGACTGGATGTTTTGTAACTAAAATATTATTAGTTATTAAAATTTAATATACTCTGCAAAAAAAAAACAAGCATGACCAAGGAGTTAACCAATCTTGATTAAATTTGGTACCCAAGCTTTTACTAGTATACTATGAAATCTGTTAGAGTTCCAAGTGTGTGTGGGATTAATATTAATGGAAAATCTTGCCAATTAATCAAGTTTCAGTTGTGGCTATGGGATCATACTAATCACCCAAAACTGTTACCTAGAAGGCTTTTATTGATGAAATGTGACATGAAAACTCCTGAAGATGTGCAGAAAAATCAAACAAAATATCAAGTTCATTAGATGAGGCAATGCTGAGAAAATTGGCTAAATGTCAGGGGAATTGAGGAAGAGGGTGGTTCCATTGAAGGTGTCAGTTTCCTTTCTCTGCACCTCAAGCCACTTCACTGTTGTTGAGTGTCTTAACTGTGAGGCAGTGCCAAGATGAGATATCTGGAAGCAAATCCAACAAGTTTTTAGGGTGTTTGATCCATGGAGGGTAATCAGGAGGCTTACCATGCAGCAATTTGATGCATGCATCAGCCTGATGCATGAAGCTGATACGTGCATCTTAATTCCTCTGGCATCAATAAAGTTTTCTCTGCATTGCCTCATCTCACAATCTTGCAAAACTTTGATCAATTTTTCTGTATATAATTAGGAGTTTTACTGGCATGTTTCATCAGTAAAAGCCTTCTAGGCAATAGTTTTGGGTAATTAGTATGACCCCATAGCCGTTATTGAAATGTGATTCATTGGCAAGTTTTCTCCATTTTTATTAATACCACACACTTGAAACTCTAATTGATTTCATAGTAAGCTAGTACAAACTGTGTACCAAGTTTCACCAAGATCACTCAATTCCATCTTGGTTTTGATTTTTTTTGCCAATGAGTATATTTAAGATTGGGCTCATGTTTTACCCAACTGTCATGGAATTAGAAAGAGGAGGTGAAGCTCAGAGCAACAATGAAGAGAGAGAATCGTCAACGTCGAACACGAGAGCGAGGCCCAGGGCGTGGTCTTTCCTCAGCATATCTCGATGGGGAGAGGGAAGATTCTGATGATGGGAATGGTGTTTCTTTAGCTGCTATCAAAAACAGCTATAAGAAGGGTGTTCGAGGTCAATTATTGCATACTTTCATTTACTCGTTACTTTGTTCTTTCCTATGTGTTTTTCAACTCTGATTTTTATTTCATTTTTATTTTTTTAGAAGGCAGAATGCCAATCTACTCTTCAGAGGAAGACGAAAGTGACATTGAGGAAGGCAAAAGGCCTCTACGTAAACATCGAGTGCGGGAAAGCGAGAGCTCTGAGGAGGAAGAAGGCGGAAAGACTGAAGAACAGAAATCGCCCTCCAATAAAAGTGGTTCTGGAAGTGGCAGTGGATCTGGATCAAGGAGTGGAAGCACTAGTGGGAGTGGCAGTGACAGTCACAGTGACAGTGACTGAAACTGGAATGTGTGTGATTTTCCTTCTTTTTTTTTCCTGGGATTTTGAGATGTTTGTAAAGTTTCATGCTGTTATTTGAATGAATATGCTCAAAACAGATGAAGCACATTGTCTTTGGCATTTGGCTCAAGCATATAGATAGTCTTCACATGACATCATCTTGATAAGCCTAGACACAGAGAGTGAGAGAAATGGAGGTTGTGATGCGGCATAATCATGATATCACTGCCCCTGCCCAAGAGGGGAAGGGATTTCCACAGCATCTCTTGACACGAGTCCTCGTTGCGTCCCCGATCTGCATAAAAGCCATCTTGTGTCAACTTGAAGTAATAATTCCATTCGTTGTCCTTTGCGGAAGCTTAGATGCCCTCGTTCAGTCGCCTGCTGATTCCGACATGCTCGCAGGATTGTGCGACTCCTATTTTAGGAAATAACATGGACATGTGACGGTGAAGGTGTGTCTAAATGTGTGCTGAGTACCATTCTTCCACAATTCAAAATCTTTTTAGTCTGGGTCAGCAAGTCAGCCAACTCCCTACCTATCCAATTTCCAGACAGCAGCTCTCCTCCTTCAAAACTCAGTCATTTCTGATGTATGTAAATTGCAGCTGACATTTTGTTCTCTGAGTGATAGCTCGATCAAGGCATTTTATTACATGTTGATGTGTGTCCCATGTATCTCCAGGAATTTTTTAATCAGTGCTAAGATTCTTAGTAGAGAAAGACTTCTGGCTTTACAGCATTAAACTTGAACAACCAAGTCAACTGAAAATGGTATCAAAAAGCCTAGGCCTACCTTTGATTCATGTTGCCATTCAGTTGAGAATGAAATTGATTCTGGGGATTGAGAATGGGGATTGCAGAACCAGATGGTGAAGCAACTGATGCTGGACGTGACAGGCGTGGTGCACTTCCCCCTGACACAGAGCTACTGCAGCTGCTAATGTCCATGGGACTGGGAGATTCAGGAATGCGCTCCCGGTCCCGAGATATACGGGCGCTCACTGGCCTTGGGATCTTGCTCTTGTTGGGCAGGGCACCTGCATTGTTATTCTTATTTCCACTCCACAATTCCCATTTCCGGCGGAGACGACTAAAGCTCCCTCGATCTATTGCACCATTTCCTTCTTCTCCCCCTCTGTCTCTTTCCTCCAGTGCATCATGAGAATGAGATTTACGAAGTGTCTTCCCTACTTTCTCATGCTCTGGGGTAACTGCCAACTTCTCGAGGCTCAGGTGACGTTTCAGCTCTTCTCCCATCATCTGTAATCACACAAAATAAATTAATCAAGCCTTGGTCCATACATGGAATAAAGAAGCCCTTTGGAATGTAAATTTTACCTGAAGTCTCTGATGTAAGAGTCTTGACTCATGCAGAAGGTCTAGCTGGAATGGATGAGCATCTAGCACCTTTGCGGCTCCAAGGATCTGATCATAGAGAGACCGAGCAGGTCCATTGGACAAATATAGAAAGGAGCATGGAGCATAATGTTTGTGGATTGCACTCTCCCGTGTTCTCAGGTATGAAAGCCATGATGTCAGACTTCCAATGCTGCAAGAAACCCAGTGTGACTTCATGGTGTGGTCTGATCACTCTGTGATTCTTGAAAAGATAAGACTTACTTGAGAAGACCACAGATAAATGCATTGAACTTGAGTGGACCCTCCACAAGATGCTCATCTGTGTTTAGGTGAAGTACCAGGTCCTGCAATGCCTTGGTACAGAGCCCTGTTCACAAATAGGATTTAACTTCAAGAATTGCTCCAAACTAAGGCATTACTACATGCATCAAAGAAAGAATGTTGAAGGAACAGAGTGTTACCTGCTTGAGAGGTGGTCTCAACCACACGCCAGACTGAATTCTGGACTGGTCCAAACAGTGTGTTGATTTTGGGAAAGAGGCCATCACTCAGAATGGCATAGAGAGTAGGGCTTAGCTCTTCTAATACCCAGTTGTGCAGTGAGTTCAACTCTTGCCACTCACAGCATGTGAAGCTCTCCACTGCCTTCCTCATGTTCCTCACCAGGTCTGTCATTGGAGAGGCCAAGAATTTCCATGAACACTTCTTGCAAGGCAATGTACATAGCCACTTAAATGCTGTCAGACCTTGCAGGTGACGAATGCCAGCTGGAGTCGATGTTGGAGAATGTACCATGCAGAAGCTCCATTCATTTCTCATTGGAGTATTGGGCAGAGAGAAGCCAGTTGATGCCACTCTTGGTAGACGACATTCCTGATTTTTAATATAATAAAATGTAAATATTATATATTTCTATCATTTAATTATTTATTATATTTTTTTAATGTAAATATTTGATAAGGTTTGAAGAAAAAGAAAATTTGTGCTGTGTTGCAGTTGGTCTTTTGACCTCACTTTTTCAAAACCTGATAAGCCCTGTTCTAATTCTTTTGAAGCCCTGAAGCCTCAGAACTAGGTGCAAGGATAATTTAAGTTTGTTGAAACTGAGTGTGACAGCAGCAAGACGAAAATTGCATCACTAAACAATAATGCTAAAATAGATGAATGGGAGAGTGATGAACATTTTAATGAATAACAAATCGATAACTGTTTGACAAAGTGGCTAAAGCTTGAAAATGGCTGGCAGTTTTGAGTTTTGGTCTATGAGACTTAGACTGACTAAATTGGAGTTTGCTTTCTTAATTTGCACTGTATTGGATGCACGCTGTAACAGTGGCTCAGCAGAAGTGGACTGGGGAGAACTGATTCCTGATTGCAATGAAAAAATGCCCATTTTGTGGCCATAAAACTCAGTAGAAATAGGGGTGAGGGTGTGCAGAGATCCACATTGCAAATCAAAATCATGTTATTTAGGCTCACGTACAATAAGAAAAATGGGATTCCTTGAAGGTCATATTGGCTCCATCGTTTTGCGTGAGACCCATCATAAAGTGATTTTTAAATCAATTGAAAAGAATCCAGAAATATAGTCCAATATACCATGGAGGAAAGAATTCCAATCGAAAACAGTGACACTCACCCATCCCGCCCCCCATCCCATACCCCACTCATATCGAAGAGGGTCTCCTCTTCTGGTGTATAAAAAGTGTTTACGATTGCGGATCCTACTAGTAAGAGCGGTGAGGGAGAGAGTTGATGAGCATGCCACTGCATTTAAAATTGGGATTCGTCCAATTCGTTCGCCTCTCCTGAGTCTCTGGGGGACGCTCTGGCAAGTGAAACACCAATCTATATTAAAATTATGTGGGGGAGTCTCCCCCTTTATCCCCCGCTGCATATTTGGAATGTTCCTGTTGAGAAGGCATTCATTGCCCCTGGTTACATCGCTACTCTGATGATACAATGAACAGAGTATTAGAGTATTTCCTTTCGTGCCCTATCTTCAATCTAATTCTGCCTTCCCGTTCCAGATCGACACGGCAGCAATGAAGTACGCGAATACAAAAGCACCTCTATTCGATATATTTTTACTTTATTCTTTGTGGGTGGGTGGTTCTCTTGTCTTCGAGTGGGGTGGAGCTGGGGTCCACCCCACCCATCCCCTAAGACAAGAGAAGCAACCGCTCTATGTTTATCTATCGTGGTCATTGCAGTTGCTTCCATGTTACAGGATATCCATAATGACCGAAAAGCATTACGAATATTCATAACTAGTAATGTGACGATATTTTGCTCTGCAGATATTCTTTGTTTATGCGAACATGTGATGAGTGCCTGTCCCATCTGTGTCGATACAGTATGCCTGCAGATCCCAGCTGCACGCAAATCTATTCACTCAACTGTCGAACATCACGTTGGCTACAGTGAATCTGGATGTTAGAATCAGGGCTGTCACGATGATACGGTGATTCTTGATTGATTGCACCCCTCGCCCCCTCCTGAATGGCGCCGAATGTCATCCAACTCGGCGACATCAGCTGTCTCAAAGTAACTGCCCCTGTATAAATCCGAGGCTGAAGTGGGAATTAAGTCATTCCCGCTTCCGCCACAGTAGAAGGGAAAGCGATCGATCGGAAGTCACTGTAGTTTTGAGGAGGAACGAAAACGTTCTCGGATGAAATTTTTAAGCCTTGAGGTGAATCCAGCACGATCCGTAGCGCCTATTGCGTAACAAGCAGATGGAGGAGTAAAAAAGAAAAGAACCTGTTATTTGCTCCATCTTGCCAGCGCTGAAGTGACTTCCGTCATCTCGGCGCCTTCCTCCTTTCCTCACTCGTTTTCCCAACTCGGTGCAGCCCTATCATCACGAGCGTGCACCCGCAAATATATTTTGGCGCTTTCCTTCTCTGCCCGCAAAAGCCTCACTAAGTCGAGTAGAACCAACGATGCTGCGGCCCAAGTATTGTGACGGCCTCAATTACAATTAATATTCTGCAATACCCTTGTAGGAAATTGAGCAACTGACGTTTTGACGGCTTCTTCTGAGGGAGTGGGGTGATTGAAACGAATGAACCCAGCTAAGCCAAATCGATGGAGCTGTCAGCAGCGATCGGTAGTCAGCGGAATTTAAGGCCATAGCCTCAACTTTTGCCGAAGAATCGTTCCTTGGAGTCAATTGAAAGCATAAGAAAGACAGAGGAATTGGATTTTCTAGATGTTCTCATACAAGGGGGAACATTTTGACCAAAATTGCAGGATGTTAGACCTCCGTCCGATATCGGAGGAAAGATTCATTTGTGAGGAAGGACATTCATGACACTATTAGGTTCAAGCTACAAGTCTTTTAAATGAAAACGGGGATGGCAGTGAATTTCGTTTCAGGATGGAACAATTTTTCTTATGAAATGAGCATCCTTCATCAATTTTATTCTCAGTTTCGTATCCCTAACTTTCTCAACATCGATTTTCGGAAGAAAAAAAAACTCAACATCGTTACATCCCTATTCATAGCATAACTTTACATGCCGATTTGGAACAATTCCCACCAGAATGACGTCAATTTCGGATTAATCTAAACGCTGTTAGGCGCTCGAGTTCGGCATTATGGTTCCAAGTCGACTCTATTTCAGTCACTGAATTCTGTTCGGCACGATTCACAATCGGCTGTATGCCCGTGAGTGAAAAACGTTGGATCTGTTCCAATTCGAGGCGATTCGTATTCAATACCAGCTGCCGTTATTCACCTTTCGAGACTTTTAAGCCATATCCGTTCGAGAGAGTCCAATTTGGCGTGGTTCCTAGTTTCACGATTTTGGTTTAAGTCATTTCATCTGATCACATGCAGTTCAGGTTCTGTGCCGTTCGTTCTGTTTCTGCAGCCCATCCAACGTTAATATTTCACTTTCGCTCATAATTCATCCTTCATCTTAAAGGTAAGACGGTTCAGATGTATTTTCGTCTCGTCGACGAAAATAAAGAAAACGAAACGGCATCCAACCCTTCCCTCTCACCTTGCAAGTGATGGAGTGATTCATGTTGGCAAAGCTGACGCTCTTGCGTCTTCGATGGCATCCGCAATCACAGCTCTGTTGAGACGCGTCGTCCTCGCTGCCTTCGAGGATGTTCCCCTCGGAGTGAAACCGTCTCTCCAGGGTCTCCGTCACGCCCATCATCTCCGTGGCTTTCTGCCGGAGGTCGAGGATCTTGGGTCGTGGAGTGTGCTCCACCCGGTCGCCCTTTCGATCCGTAACGTCATCCACGCACATGCTTTCTCCGGCCAGTTTGAGTCTGCTGTCCAAGACGAAGGATTCCCTATGGCTGCGACAGATGAACGAAGAGCGTCGAGAATCGTCTTCGCATCCCGACGGAGTCTTCCTCAGGATCCCCTTCGGTCGTCCTCCCGGATCCACACGATCCGCTTCCTCGGGTGTCTTCTGCAAGACGGCTGCATCACAGCTACGCGGTCGTGTTTTGCGGAACTTAATCTCCGGAGTGAATCTCGGCGAAGACGACTTCTCGTCTTCTTCGTCGCAGCAACCAAGGATCTCCTTGACGTCAGAGGGCAATAATACTTGGAGGCTCTTCCAGTCTTTGATTTTCGACAAGTCCCGTTTCTTGAGGACCTCGAGGTCGTCGACAGAGAGATGTTTCTTCCTTCTTGGCAGGATCTCTTCTTCTTTGGACTTCGGTAAACCTCGACCCACAAGATACACGTCTGCATCTGGATTTTTGATGAAGTCTAGGTTCGGTAGGGCGTAGCTGGGAAAGTAGACGTATACTGTTTTCTTCCCTCCGCTGATCGAGGTCTGAATACTAGTACAAGTGAGCTGAGGGGAAGAGTCCTGCATCAAGATCCCACTGCTCACGGTATCCAGGGTGCCTGGATCGTCTTTGGCAGTGTCAAATGTGGATTCTGAGATCCTGGCCGACGTCCACGCTCTCAGAAGAGATGTGGACACCCGTTTCCCCAGAACGACATCGTACAGTTTCTTCTTTTCTAGGTCAGGGAGGCTGAAGCTCTTGTCATCTTTCAAACGACACCAAGTTGTGAAGAGACGACCCCCGACGCTCTGGGTCATGGCGGTCCTCTCCTCTCGCTTTTCTTCTTGCCCTTTCATCAAAAAACAAAACGTTCATTCTCGATCGGAAGACTTTCAACGATGATTTAAAAGTATTGAAGCGAAATTAGTGATACTCACTGGATTGTCCTCGAGACTGCAAAGGAAGATCATCAAAGGCAAGAGTGTAGTGGTCTTTGTTGGCTTGACACGTGACGGTCAGGTCCCGACCCGACATGGTGCTACAATCCAAGGAATCCACGCTGAAGGCTCCTTCCCTCATCGGAGAGAACAAGGAGCCGTCCGAGATCTCTCCACCCGTTGAATCCAGTGTGAGATCCTGTAGGGAAAAGTATCTCAATTGGTGAAATTTGTCGATCGATTCAGGCCTGGGTGCACGGTTAAAGGACGAGACCTGGGTTTTTCCAGTCCGACGCCATTCTTGGAGTATGGAACTGCTCATTGAAGACATCATCTCCCCAGCCGAGTCCTTCACACGACTCATCTGTTCCAAAATACGCAAACAGTGATCGTGACGTAATGCAAGAATGAGGGCTCTAAGGAGATTTTTCCCTGAAAATAGATGAGACCTGGGAGGCATTGTCCTGAAGGAACTGAGTGAGATCATCACGGGAGAAGTCGATGAGAGCGAGCTTGGCATCCCAGTCTTCGTAAGTGACCCCGCTCGTACTCAGACTCAGTCCTCCCCCGGTGGCTGGGGATCCACCCACACCCATCCCTCCTCCCATCTGATACCTGATCCAAGACAACGGGAGTTCCATCGTGACTCTGCCCTCCTTGGCGCTGAAGGGGGGAAAAGTTTTGGGAGTCGAGAACAGACTGGCTGTAGTCGGAGCACCAGAGGAGTTCTCCATCCCCATCGCTGGCCAGGCTGTCCTCCACCTTCATCCCTCTCACTGCAGCCACTGAGCTCTCCCGTTCTGCAAAACACGTGTCATGCATGCGAACTATGTTTATTTAGAAAACTAGTAAAACGGAATCTATGGGGGGGGAATGAAGAAAAAAACAATTATGGTTGGTAAAAATCGTTGGTGTCATCAATCCAGTCCCTTCCGCGCTCGGGAAGGCATACCTTACGTGTCCGATCCCCAGCATAAATCTAAATCCTGGAGCGCAAGTGCCGGTACTTTCTTCCAGGAACTGACAGCGGCAGTTGGGCATTCAATCAATGGCTGATAAGAGCAATTCCGCCTCGGCGTGAAGGGGAACGAAGGAGGCGGATAGTGTGCACCGATGAGTGACAACGAATCGGTAGAGAGAATTCGTCACACCGACACATCGCGATCATCGAAGGTACAGATATGCATATGCCACGCCGAGGGTGGCGAAAATTCCTGCCCTCGTTGCCCCGGACGAGCGCGAGGGCAAAAAGTAGGCTAGACTATGGGGGTGGCGAGGGAGAGGGCCGACTCCGAGGTTTCTCCAGGGAACAGGAAGATGCTTTGGAGGCAAGCCAAGATGTAAGTCTAATGCATGAGAAAAAGCGGCCTCACTCACACGTTCACATTCCATTCTCACCGGTCGTCCAGGAAATCTCGCAGTAAATGCGAGGGAGAGAGGCGGTCACACTGGTACTTGCACTGGGGGAATGGAGCTTGGGGGATCCGATCGATCCCCTCAGCCCTCTCTTCCCCCTGGAATTGGAACCATCCCCCTGCGCGGTTGCCAGATCCCCGTTTCTCTTCGATCCTCCACCCATTCGACAACTCTGCTCTGTACTATTGCATGGGTGTCAGTCGAGCCATGACGTGTCGCATTAGAAACCCCTTCCCGAAAGAGCGATGAAACCCTCAACAAACGATGCGTGCTAAGAACGGGGAGCAATCTGTACCGAATGAGAAGACGGTGCGACGAGACAGCCCTGGAATGTATCTGGGAAAGGAATCGTGGCAGGATGCGTTTCATGACGTCCGAGTCCGACCTCGTTTCCACGAAACGAATCCACAACGACTTTGTGAATGTACACTGCATTACCCACCCGATTGTCTCCGGAAGACCATGTCGAGGACGATGGGGCGGAGCCGGAACAAGTAGAGATAGAGGAAAGGGATAGAGATGCAGCAGGCCGAGGCACACCACAACAGAGTTAGGGCCGATTCACACGGCGATGCGTCCGAGTTGAGATGAAAGCCAAAACGAAGGGAGAGTGAGACGGGCTGGGAATGAAGGAAATGCAGAAACATGAGTCACCCCAGCACTTCACGCACATGTGCGTTCACGCGCACGCACGCACGCACGTCAACCCTGGTCTCTTCTGATTGAGTCCGATTATTTTCGCTTCCGTCTTTGTATCCACGTCACGATGGCAGAAGCCCAGTTGAGACTCCAACGTTCTTAGAACTGAGACGAAGGGGAAATTCTTGGCAAGGGTTCTTTCGCGTTCGTTTACCGTCCGCTTCCGTCGTCGCCTACCTTTTTTTTTGCGCAATTTTGCACGCCGCCTTCTCTCCGACATACGACATGCGCTTCCCGAGTCATAGTTTGTGATCGTTGGGATTATTTTAGATTAACTTTATACGAGGTAATGGCCGAATTACGGAAATTTTGTAACGGAAGAACGGAAATGGCGGCACACCGTTGGAGCCGCTCGGACGATCGCGAGATCAGCGATATGGAATATCGGCGGAGCGATTTCCCCATCCCCCTCTACAGTATTACCTTGTCCTAGTCCCATCATTATCGTTGTTGTTGCATCTTTTTAACAACGTCACGCCCTCTTGCTGCGTTATTTACACAGTAGCCTCCTTTTGCATCAACTGGGACATCTATCCAACCCGGGTTCATCACCGAAGCGTACTGTGCACGCCACAATCGCTTCGACTGCTTCCGCAATTTCCGTCTGCGAATGGGACTGGGAAGAAAAAAAAGAGAAGACAATGTCGGAAGATGAGCGACATCTCGTCTACGAAGCGAGGAACCCCTTCCCTCCTCCTTCCCCCCGCGAGGCCAAATAAATTAAAAGCGACTTCATCCCATTTCGTCGTATTCAGGCTCCCTCGACGGTGACGAATGCTTCTCGTCATTAGGGATGCACCGACCACTAAATCATCAGCGGATTGCAGGATGTGTGAACTCTGACATTCCCACATCCTAACAAATATTGAGCAATGGAGACCGGTGAAAGGCGTCTGATAGTAACGGAAGCGCTTGGGACTCGTGAAAGTTTCATCTTCTATCGCTTTCCGTACTGCTTTCGCATTTTTTTTCTCCTCCGCTGCATCCATGCTTGTAAAGCTGGCGAAGGACGAGCATGTATGTGATGTATTAAGTGTCAGAACTGAACACTGGTATCTTTTCTATTCCGTTCATTTTTTAAGGTTCAATATTTTGTTCGCTGCTCGTAATTCTCGCAAAAACGTGTGAATCCCGGTCTTTATCCGTTATCAGTCTTCACACTCATCTGCTAACAGTAGAGGAACAAAGGAGGGGGGAATAATGCTCATGAAACGACTGCCAAGTGAAGAACCACGAGCTTACAAAGAACCACAGAAGAGCCTTGCATTGTGGAGGGGGTTTATTTTTTGTCGTCCATTGCTAATGACGAAACCGATAAGGCTAAACCGAAGTAAAGATCCTACGCTGTCGAGATTTTCTATTACGGACGGCGCTGGAAAAGGATTTAGCTTTGGGCATATAGTTCCACAGTCCATCATCGGACAAAGTGAGAACTCAAATTTGGGAAGAAACTTGCTATTATTGCGTTTCCTGCATCTTTTCTTTCTATTTTTATTTTTGGGAAACGCCTCCTCCCCCTAATTCCCCCATCCCGACGCACACCTATTTTCGCACTGGGTGAGCCTGTTTGCTCGCTTAGGTGATGACACCATAACGAGCCGTGAGCGAAGGACTCTGCCTAGCATGACTCAACGCGAGGAGCAGAAGAGGGGGAGGGGAGAGGAGGCTGGCAGCACATCGACCTCATGGCTGCAAACATGACGTCATCACAACAGTCCCGTCCCCCCACTGCCTTTTCCGAGCCTGCGGGATCGAACCTCGAGCTCTTCCTCTCATGCTGCACACCCCGTGATTGGCTCCCACTTCCAAGCCTGGCAACAACATCGTCGGCGACCTGGGACTGCTTTTGCGTACCTGGTTCGAGTCATCTGAGGCTTACGTTCCTCGCTGTCTTCCCTGAGCTTTTCGGGCGAACACCTTCGGGATCTCCGAAAGGGTTCTTCCCTTGGCACCAGGGGACTGCGAGGCCGCGTCGTCTGCTAGAGTCATCGGCCAATCGCAGGGCTTCTCCCTTGTCCTTGAAAAGCAGCTGGGTCTGTTGTGGACGTGAATGTGTACCTTCTCTTAGCTTTCTTCGTTTCAGTATCAGTTGCGCAGTTTCTAATGCCGTTTTTCGGTTGGGGATTTATATTAGGAGCGTGGGATAGGGAAAAACCAAGCTTATGGTGAGTCAAGATAAGAAACTGAACTGGGAGCTGGCAGGCCCAGGACTTAGGCGTAGATACAAAAACAGTCTCTGTCTTTGTGTCTAGGCTGGGAAACCCGGATCTCTCGGCCGGAGTTCCTGCAAAAAAAGAAAGAAAAATAATACCATTACGATATTACAATTCATTAAGGCCTAGGTTCAACGTTAGGCCACAATTAAGTTAATTTATGCATATGCTTCAGATTTATAGAATGTTAATCTCGAAAATACATGTGAACCATTCATCTGCATTCCCTGCCTACCATATATATGTAAGTTACTGCAAATTGAATAGCAAAAAATTTAGGCATAGTCCCTGAAACACGTTCATTTTTCCAAATCTGGATACATGGAATTAATTATGGTAATAATAAAGTCTATTCCAGTTTTGTCTGACAAATCGTATTGTCAGGAGAATGTGGATATTTGAAGTGAATTTGATCCCCTGCACATATGAGTTCATGTACAGGACAACTAGAGCACAACTAAACATATCATCTGGAGTATGACCATTATGTAGAAGACTTGCCCTGTACTAGTAACCTACCATAAGTATCACATACTTAACCTCTTTGGAAGAATGTGTTGAACCAATGGGCCTATGAATAGTTAATTTTACCAAAAGATTTGATAAGCCCTGACTAAATTTATGCTTTTCTGTATTGGAGGTATTTGTGATGAATATATAATTGGTTATTGCTTGATTGCCAGCAGTATACATATACCTAAAATTGATATTAGGTTCCCAGAGTAACATTGCCTTTTTAACATACCTAAGGTAGCTGTAGACTAGCAAAACTGCTGGGGAGAATGCATGGGCATTCATATGCACCTTATGCTTGCATTAATGTGGTTTTGGGGGTCTCTTTTATTCTTTCCACCTACTCATTGATCATAGGCAAAAGCTGGCAGGACTGACCCAATGGAATATGACTCCTCAGCACCAAGTATTAGTATTTTATTCGGCATCTTCTAGCTGCTTTGTAATTCATGGGGGTTAAGTATTAATATCAGCTGAGTTTGCTGCTGTTACGGTAGCCAGAAGTTGTGGCAGAAATAAAAAAAGGAAGACCTTCACAGGAGTAAGGCTCAATAATGGAACAGGCAAGGGAAGGTTGTCTTGGATATAACCATTCACCTATTATAGATAAGACTCTTTTGGCCTAAATCACTGAAAGTCAACCTTCTATAACATAAAATCAACCCATTCAGTGAGGAATGATATATTCAGAATATTTCCATGCTGACATACATTGGCTTTTACTTTTACCTTCACAATAGTGTGGTGATATCACTGTATGCTTCAACCCTTCCAGTAGTTCAGAATGCCTGCTGTATTTGGAGGACTGTGACATTGAATGTTTCTAACTCTAGATTTGGTATAAGGATACCATCTAAAATTGACATGGCTATACTGTAATACATCAGAGTTGATATGGAAGCTCAAAAAAATCTTAGCATTAGCAGATAACTGCTTGTTATCCTAGTTCATTGACCTGTTGCTGCATGACAGTGCTCCTTTATTAAAAAAATTTACATCCCCATTATAAACTTATTCCAATGGAACATGATTCTCATTGATTTTGGAAGAAAATCACACATGGTGTTCAATAGCAATTTAAAATGTCTTATGATCCTAAATATCATTGAAAGCCATATCCACAAATGTGGACCTGATGCATCTTGGGGTAAACAATGCAACAAGGTTCATGGACTGGAAAGATGTTGGTTTTGCAGCAATGAGGTGAACACTATTGATGCTTGCAAGCCACTGCTGCAATGCAGCTTTCAAAACCCTCTGTAATTCTGCAACAGTCTATCATGATGATATCACACTATTTTGGCATTCTTATAATTGAATGATATCCTTCAGCATCTCAAAATAGATGTGACTCTTGACTGAAGGTGCATTTTGTTATGATATTCAGTTCTCCTTGACCTTTCAGTATCCGTATCAGCTTATTTTTGCATATAAAGTGGTGGACACTATGACAGCCAGGAAACATGGATAAGGAATACATAAGGAACAAGCCACAACAAAAGAAACAAGGCAGAACTAGGATTAAAGAACAAAACATGAGCAAAAACAAGGAAATGGTGAGAAAAACAGAATGTATAGGGTTTTGGATATGGAAGAAAAGAGCATATTGGATTGGGAAAATAAAAGTTAAGGGGACACTGGTGATTAGGGACAAATGACATATGTCCAAGAGTATATCAGGAGTGAGGTCAGGAAAAATTATTGGAGGAAATGCTCTTTTAAGAGTTATTTTGCAATATTTGGGGCTGTTTCAACAACTGAATTTTAAATTGACCATCTGAATTAGAGTATGAAGTCCTCTGTCTCAGGGCTTTCACAATTACTTTATTTCCATTTTAAAATATATTCTCAGCAGACCTTGCCTCAGCATAAGTGTCTACCAAGTGGTAAGGTACAAGTAAAACTTGATAAGTTCAGAGTAAGACTATGATAGCACCTGTGATAGATCCTAGACTAGTCCTAGTGTTTGTCATATATGAAGGATGTATTGAAGCACACATTCTTTTGTGTATTTCCCAAGATGGTGCTCCATAAGGAATCCGAGAGCTTTGGTGCTGTGAACAATGGACATCAAATATTTATGTGGTAGCTCATGCATCAGCTGTTTGTGAACCAGAGCTAAAAACCTGAGAAATTGTAATCTATTATGGCCTGGTGATCATACATCAAGAAATGGATCTTGCTCGTTGTTTGAATTAGAATAGAGTGAAATTTTCTATGCCTAATTTCAATAAGAAAAAAACATTTTGAGCAAAGCTGGAGCTGGGATTTTGCTCCAGTAACAAGGAAAAATGGAGGGCAATGAAAGCCTAGAAAGTTCCCCAAGTCATAGCCTTCACCAGAATGGTGATGTTGGGAACAGTCGACAAAGGAAGTTACGAGTTGCTTTCTTGAATGGGAACATGGTCAGTTTTGCTATCTAGCCTCTCTTTCTTAATTGGAAATCACTGACTAAGTGGTTGAATAGGTTTGATGAAGAATTCACATCTCTTGGTTTTGCAGCAAACATACAGAGCATTAAATGAGGATGAACCAGGAGGCCTGATTAATCGGAAGCTTCCTAAAGAGCTTCTCTTGAGGTAAGTCAAAGATGACTTGTTTGTTTTGGATGTTTTGTGCAGCACTCTGGATTAGTATAAATTAGTTTTGGTGTGGTACCATCAGGGTTTTCTCCTTTCTTGATGTGGTGACGTTATGCCGCTGTGCTCGAGTTTGCAAATACTGGAATCTGCTTGCTCTTGATGGCTCCAATTGGCAGAAAGTGGACCTCTTTGACTTCCAGACTGATGTTGAGGTGTGACAGGCTACAATGGCATTGCATAAATGTTTATCAATGTGCTTTGCGACATAAAAGAAAAGTTTCATTATTGTAGGGAGTAGTTGTGGTGAGGATAGCAGAAAGGTGTGGAGGATTCTTGAAGCAGCTAAGCCTTCGAGGCTGCCAGAGTGTCCAAGATGAAGCCCTTGAGACCTTTGCCAATACGTGCAACAATATTGAAGATCTCAACCTCAATCACTGCAAGAAGATTACAAACAAGTATGATCAGATCTGTTTAACACCGTTTCATGTTTGTCTGAGTTGTTGAGAATTTTGTCAGCATCAATTGATTTCTGTGATTGTATTGTATTGCTGCAAGGGAATACCACTTATTGTTCCCTTACAGAACATGCGTGGCTTTGAGCAAGGGTTGCCCCAAGCTTCAACGACTTGGTTTGGACTCATGCCTCATGGTGACTGACGAAGGACTGAAAGCTCTTGCTGATGGTTGCAAGAACCTTATGCAGCTCAATATATCGTGGTGCATTGCCATCTCAGAGAATGGTCATCTATCCTTTCACTATCCCTGACTGCCAGTTGGTGAGAGTGAGGTTGAGTCAACCTTGTTACTTCATGCAGGGATCGAGGCCCTTGCTCGAGGATGCCGGCGACTCACACACTTCACGGCCAAGGGATTAGAATTCCTCACTGACAATTCAGTCTCTGTTCTTGCCAAACACTGTCCTCTTCTCGAAGTCATCGACCTACACTCCTGTTCTGTATGGCATTCATCTTTCAATTGTTTGATTCGGTTCATATGCGTGGCCCGTATTACTAATATGTCCATCTTGCCCTGTGTTTGCTGTTAGAATCTGAGTGATCGTGCAGTGCAGGCACTTGGGGAACACTGTGGAAATCTGAGGCGCATCTGTGTGTCAGGTTGTCTGCATCTCACAGACGTATCTCTTGTGTCTATTGGTCAAGGTTGCCCCTACCTTTCCACATTGGAAGTGGCAGACTGCAAACAGTTCACTGATGCTGGGTTCCAGGCTCTTGCCCGAGTGAGTTTTGTCTTCTGAGGGGTGATGAAATCTCAGAGTCCAGTCCTAATTGGCACAAAATTACAGAGTTGTCACTTGTTGGAGAACTTGGACCTGGAAGATTGCAACCTGATCACGGATGCCACTCTGCATCACTTGGCCCTTGGTTGTCCTAGATTGGAGAAACTCAGTTTGTCCCACTGTCGCAAGATCACTGATGATGGAATCCGAGCTCTGGGATTAGCTCCGTGCTCTGCCGAGCATCTGGTTGTCCTTGAATTAGACAATTGTCTCGCCCTCACAGATTCCAGCCTTGAGCATTTGCTTCAGTGCCACAATCTTCAGCGCATCGACCTTTATGACTGTCCCTTCATCACTGCCCAGGGCATTCAACGCCTCAAGGTACTTCACCTTCCATTAGTACTCAAGGTTGGGTTTCAAATTGACAGGTTGTGACTGAAATCTCAATGCTTCAATTCCAGAATCATCTCCCGAGCATCAAAGTGCATGCATATTTTCCCCCGATGACCCCCCCACCGACAGTGGGTGGGTCTAGGCAGAGATACTGTCGATGCTGTGTTCTCTTATGATCCGGTGTGTTTCTATCTACTCATATGAAAAAGTTGCATCTGGCATCTGAGAGGTGCCATGGTCAGAAACGAAAGTGGGTTGTCCTAAGGGGATTGGGACATACACAAACACTCATCCTGTGATACAAAGAAACGAGTGAGAAATCACGACGAGTGAGAAATCACCAACGCGTGCTTTGATTGACTAGATCAAGCGATATGACTGATTGGTTGCAATGGATTGGATTCTCTTCTATTCTATTTGCATATGCTCCATGGATTTCAATGTCCTCAGAATATACCTGTCAAATGGCTTGTGTAACTGGTCTACAAGTTTTTTTTTGTTATTGTATAGTTCCATTGGTGAATTTTCTTATTGCTACCCATGAGGCTGTATCATCCCTGTCTGCTCTGTACAAGACACATAAGCCTACACTGCCTGAAGTTTTTGCTTCATGGCATTACAGATACAAATATGAGCAATGGAAAAAGAAGATAGGAAAAAGGTACATGTATATTTCAAAAACTGTCTTATATTGTCAATAGACTCAACACCACCAATTCTTTTTTACTTTTTGTAATTTCTCCTGTTTTATTCTTAGTGTAATTCTGCCCCCCCCCCCCCCCCCTCCCCCCCACTGAAGTCTTAACAAAGAAGCTTTGAGATTTTGTCAAACATTTGATTTGAGACTTGGATAATTCCTAACATTTGTCCAATTTTATATGCATTTGCAGTACAACTGCAAATACATAAAAAATTGGAAGTAAAATAAAATAAATTGGGGTGTTTGAAAAGCTTCTGACCTGAAGCACTTCCAGTTGTTTTACACCGTCCTTACTTTTCTTATGGGAAGACAGATGTATTTGATGGTGACTGACAAATTCTCATCTTATTTTTCTGTAATGGACAGCTTCTGTGGATTAACTTTTTTCAGTGTTCTACCAAAGGGTCCACTGAAGGGGGTATTAAAACTGAGACCAATGCTGTGATGAATTCTTTATCCTTGAAGGAGTTGATCTCCTAGCAGATCTTTCAGCAGCCGAGAGGATATCATCCTACTGACCCACATCTAAAAGATCGACCAAGGTGAAATTATGCCAGTCGCCATCAAAGACATCTTTCTTCCCAAAATGAAAGTATGAATAGCGTATTATAACTGGAAGTGGCTCGACCCAAACTTTTTGAATGCTCCTCCTATTATTTATTTATTAAAAAAATAGTTCAATGGGAAAGTGTTATTAGAATATAACATCTGGGACCAGGTTTGGTGGGATGAGGCAATGTACTTTTTCCTGCACATGAGACCCTCAAAACCACTACTACACATCAGATGAAACCAATAAGGAATTGGTGTATTGGTTGTGCTAGCCAAGTTGATCCTCAGGCATGTAAGTCTCTCCTTAAGCCTGACCCTTGGCCTTCATGGTCGGTGGGAATGAATCGCAAGTGTCGAAACACAGGGTCACAATGGCAAGGGAAGAAGAAGGGATCCATTAACCCAATCAAAAGTGCAATCTTCTCAGGCCTCCATAGTCATAATGAATGGGAGGGCGACTTTGACTCCACCCCTTGGCCTTACTCGCTTTCACCCCGATGGACGGTGAAGGTCGAGCGAGAGTCTAACAGAAGTGGAAACTATGAAGTGTTCTTTCAAACTTCCTACATTTTTCATTGATGCCAAGATTGCAGTTGCTCACTACATAAACATGATGCAGAAAATAGTAGCATTCGAAATCCCTAAGCCTTTTGCGCGGCGTCTGATGGAAGCGGACGATGCTAGCGAATTAAGTCGTTAATTCCAACAGCGGACGAAAGCGACGTCATCGTGGATTCAGCAACAGACAACGAGAGCGACGCGAAGCCTCCCTGGCTCGACCTCGCGAGCTACGTTGGAGCTATGGCTCCTCTGTGCCACCCTATCGTCGCTCCGTCTCCGACAGCCGTATGGGACTCGAGCTCCCTCTCCTTCGTCCCCCTTTTCGTATCTTCTATGGACCCTGATTTTGTACTAAATGGATTTAGGTGGGGACCTTTTACTCTTTCCTTCGATTTCCTCCTCATAGGTGACCTGTTTTCCCGTATAACTAAGACCTTCCAACTTAATTGAAAATCTTACTTTTTTCAAGGTCTGGACTCCCACAACCGAACTACAAGAGCTAACCATAATAAATAATTGAATGAACAATCGTTAACTCCACACTTTGTGCTTGTTTTCTTTTTGTTCATTTTTATTAGTGAATGCCGAACTCGGAGCGTTCTCGGTCCCGTCAAAGTCCAACATCGAAGAAAACGGATTCGTAAAAACGCATGTGTTCCTGCTCTTGCGATCCGAATTATGGAGTTCAATTTCGAGAATAGGATTTAAAAAAAAACAGCCGGAGGGGGTCGAAACGGCGTTGAGAACAATTAAGCCCGCCGGAAGACTCGAATGAGAAAGTTGTGCCGGCTAATTATGTCATCTTTATAATCGCAAATAATTAAAAGTCTCCATTCGCTTCTTCCATTAAGTCCAAAAAAAAAAGTTTAATTCGATGGAAGGAATTTCAGATCCCCAGAGAATCTTTCCAGGGAAAAATTGCATGGAGACAGAAGAGCGCAAAAGCAGCAGAGCTTCCACGAAAACCACTTATCGACTTCGCCATTCTCGTGCGAAAATTTCAGGGTTATTGAAAATTCACGCCCCAAATGGGAGTGCACGGAAACCGGCGAACCTTAGCGTGAGAAGCGTTGAAATGCGTTGATTGCCACGCGACTGTTCTGCGACTCGTCGCCCGGTGGATTTCTGCCAACACGGTTCGTCTCGTCTCGAGGAATTCTGCCCCGAATTCTTTGCGAAAAGTTTTTTCGCTCCGTATGGGGCGTGACTTCCGAATGACCCCGTACGTTTCGCGAGAATCTTTCGGGCTTCGGGTTCGCTCGGTCCGAGTTTCCACGGTTCTCGTGACAAGGCATTATATATTTTAAAGGATTCGATCGGAAAGGAAGGCGTCACACGCCTTTCCTCGGTGAGGATTTCCCACTCTTTCCGAGAAATTTCTCGGCGAAAGATTCGAAAGGCTGCGCTCCTCGCATCCGGACGGATCCGGGACTGGGGGATTTCTTTCCTCTGCCGAGTTTCGGGGGATGAGATCTGCTTTTTCGTTCCCAAAATCTTGGGCTCTCTATTCGGTCGGAGCCCGGAGAACGAGACCGAGAACAATTGCTCGGTCCCAGCCTCGACGGGATTTGAATCCAGAGGCGACCGCTCGTGGGTCGTGCGAACCAGCGCGAGCTTTCCAAATTTCGCCCCAATTTACCGGGAACCATGGACTCCGATCGTTTAACTCGGACGAGTCTTGCCACAAGCTAAGATAGTTTACGTCAAATTGACGTAATTTAACTTGCCTCTCTGGATGCTTCTCTGCGATACGCTCTTATTTGTTTTGCAAGTGGCACCGCCATTTTCCTTCGAGTTTTCGTTCGAACGTAATAAAAGTTCCATTCCAAACGTGGCTCTCGAACGGTAGAGATCGAGTGAAAAGAAAAATTGTAATGATGACAACCATCGATCGACAGAGGAGGATTCAACCAACCAAACCAGCTTTCCATGACACCCACGAGAAAATCCATGGCTGACGGGGGGGGGGAGAGGCGAGAGTTACCATGACGTTGTATCTCCGTGAGAAGCCTGCTCACCTACTGCTCACCTGCGTCTCACCTGCCGCTCATCCCACGGGATCCCTGCGCCATTTTCTCACGGGACGCGGTGAAAGAACCGCTGCCGCTCTTATTCGCGGAGGCGAATTCACAACTTCAAATTTCTTCCTTGTTTTCTCGATTCTGGCTTCATATCATTCCTTCCCCCCCCCCCCCCCCCTTCCCCCTCCCCTCTCAAGTATTTGTTTCATGGCATTATTAAGGCGTAGCGCCATGATAAATGAAAATGTCACCTGAAATGAGCCCTCGTCGGTCGTTGCCAACAATTTTTTTTGCAACATATTTTATTGTTCCAAGAAACCGTAGAAAACCGAGAAAAATATCGCGAGATCGAGGGAAAAAAAAAAACCTAGATCCGGTCTCCATCTTTCCACTCTGTCAACGTCTAGGTATGCTGCAACTCTCTTATCTCTTTGGTGATCTTCTTCGTCGCTGAAGAGCATTGAAGAATGCAGGAAGAAATCAGAAGGAAAACAAATTTTTTGGCCTTGTCTCGACGACGGCGAAAACGAAAGGATTCTGCCAGTACCTTTAAATCCGATCCCGAGGAAGGAAGAAGCTGGGAGAGAAAACTGCTGGGAACCGACAACTTTCGTCAGTCCCTCCAAATTTCATCCGAAATGGAGCAAATTTCCCACCATCATTAAAAGTTTGCCACTCGAACATCGATGTTTCCTTTCGAGCGTCAATGGTCCATTCTTTGATCCTGAAGAGAAGCGAAGAATCGGAGATAATAAAAAAAAAGAATAAATAAGGAATTCCGTGCTGGGATTCGAACGTGAATCTTACAATTCTGCGATTAACGCGCTGCCTTTCGGCTATGGAACCGAGAGATCGGCTCGTCTGAAAAACTGGCTTTTTCAATCCATCCATGGATGGACGAGTCCAACGCGTCATCGAGGGGAGGTCTGGTTGAAAAGAGGGGAAGGAGGGGGGACCTGGGTCTCAAGGTCAAACGGAGGTGAATGGGGCCACATCCGTGACGTCAGGGGGTTCCGTCTAAAAGGAGAAATCTCACCTACTGCTGCTTTGTTCGAACCCGGAAAAAAGTGGCAGTTCAAGGTCGAATTCGGTGACGTCATGCCCCACCCGGCCTTCCCTCCGTTCATCCACCCCGTGGACTCTCCCGGCATGCGATCACCCCCGATATCCCCGAGTATCGGAGAATGGACTCGTCCGTTAGAAGAAATTCGTAGCAGCGAACGACAGGGATGCGCTCACCTCAGTCTCCGCATTTTTTATTTTCGGCTTTTCCCATTATTCGTTTCACTTAATATGCGAATAGAGGAGGATGGAGCGCAGGGAAGCTAATTTTCCGCCTTCTTGCTCTCTTTCTTTCCCGTCGAATCATCCCGTCCATCAGCTTCAGCCACACTTCCAGATCGAGACTCGAACGCATGACTTCCATTCCGACTGAAACCGTTTTCTAACAGGAATACCTCTATGGGGCAGTTTCTCGTCCAGTCCCGGCCTTGGAACTTTTTATTTATTTATTTTAAAAAGGGTCATCGTCCTTTCGACTCTGGAATGGTTCTCCAATTCCGATGCCGGTAATTCCATGCGGACCGTTTCCTTCCTTCTCTCTCGCCGAGACACATTCTCCTCTATATAATGGCGTCTTTTAG